GGAAGGGAGTTAGCACATCCCCCAAGAGGTTGGAACTTGGAAGGGAGTTAGCACATCCCCCAAGAGGTTGGAACTTGGAAGGGAGTTAGCACATCCCCCAAGAAGTTGGAACTTGGAAGGGAGTTAGCACATCCCCCAAGAGGTTGGAACTTGGAAGGGAGTTAGCACATCCCCCAAGAGGTTGGAACTTGGAAGGGAGTTAGCACATCCCCCAAGAGGTTGGAACTTGGAAGGGAGTTAGCACATCCCCCAAGAGGTTGGAACTTGGAAGGGAGTGAGCACATCCCCAAGAGGTTGGAACTTGGAAGGGAGTTAGCACATCCCCCAAGAGGTTGGAACTTGGAAGGGAGTTAGCACATCCCCCAAGAGGTTGGAACTTGGAAGGGAGTTAGCACATCCCCCAAGAGGTTGGAACTTGGAAGGGAGTTAGCACATCCCCCAAGAGGTTGGAACTTGGAAGGGAGTTAGCACATCCCCCAAGAGGTTGGAACTTGGAAGGGAGTTAGCACATCCCCCAAGAGGTTGGAACTTGGAAGGGAGTTAGCACATCCCCCAAGAGGTTGGAACTTGGAAGGGAGTTAGCACATCCCCCAAGAGGTTGGAACTTGGAAGGGAGTTAGCACATCCCCCAAGAGGTTGGAACTTGGAAGGGAGTTAGCACATCCCCCAAGAGGTTGGAACTTGGAAGGGAGTTAGCACATCCCCCAAGAGGTTGGAACTTGGAAGGGAGTTAGCACATCCCCCAAGAGGTTGGAACTTGGAAGGGAGTTAGCACATCCCCCAAGAGGTTGGAACTTGGAAGGGAGTTAGCACATCCCCCAAGAGGTTGGAACTTGGAAGGGAGTTAGCACCAGCAAAAATAGCTCACATGGATATATTACCTCCGGGACCGTACAGCCATCTGAGCAGCAACCAGTCTTAGAGAGCATAGCTAGGCTCCTATAGGTCCTCTTTCGAACTAGATCCTGCTGGAGCATGCTGATCGCTGTGGCAGTCTCCTTCATTAGTTGATTAGAGCCTATATATGTTCTGTAAGACTGCCTGCTGCTCAAATGACACGTACGTTTCCGTCGATAATACATTCGTACGGGCATTTTTTTTGCTTCTGCCAACCCCCTGGGAGATGTCAACCAACGCCCTGTAGGGCAGACTGCAGGCGGCATGCATGTGCAGTCGACTGCCTAAAGCCGTCGAGTACAGCCACAAATGTTAATAAATCTCAACAAGTCAGGTTTTCCAACACTTGGCGAGTAGGCGTGCGTGCATGCGAGGCCAACCTGGACATGTGCAAAAGTGCTTCGTGAGCACTCGTTCACTTCCTTAAAGAGAGTTGACGAAAAGTAGATTTCCTCGAGAGAATCGGGAATTGTTGTATGCAAGCACACGCAAAGGAAAGTCGCTGATACAAACTGGACCGAAGGCAAGTGATTAACCATTGCCCAAGTAAAAGAATTGACGTTTTTGCCTAGTCTAGAAAACGCCCCCGAAGGGTGAACTTGATTGATAAAGGGCGACCACTTAGGGTGCCCACATTAACCGAGTGCCTACAAAACACTGCCTTGGAAACATGTTCACGATAGTATCCACATCCAGCCCTTCCAAAAGCAGCAGCCCGAATTGCTTTGACTCACCGGGGATATGTCGTAGACACTGAGCTCTCTCAGCAAGGGACAGTTCCTCCCTGCAGTTATGACGATAGTATTCACATCCAGCCCTTCCCCTCCATCGATGGCGAGGGACACGAGGCGCGGCGACACGGAGAGAAGAGAGGTGAAGGAGTCTGAGCTTATGGACCGGCTGAAGCCTGAGAAGGCAAACTTGGTTAGGTTCGGACCGAGCCTATCCGCCAGACCTGGAAGGAAAGGAGAAACACGGAGAGCAGGGAGAGGAGTTTGAACCTGTGGACTGGGGGAAGCCAGAAAAGAAGTAATTGGTCAGGCAACAGGTTTGGGCTGAGTTTGTCGATTATGCCTGGGGAGGGAGATGGCTAGGGGAATGTGGGAAACTATGAAAATGAGGGTGTTTGGACGGGAAGATTTAAGAGCAGACACAAAGTTATGAGAAAGAAGCGTACTTGTGATAAAATAAACCGGAATGGACGGCTGTGCACATTAAAGTTACATGAACTCACCATGAATGAGCGCGTCTGTGTGCCTGTCTGCGCCACACAGCGCCAGCTCCTCTATGCTCTCTGGTAGTATGGACGTGCACCTGTCACTCAGATGCCAGCAGTCCTGGCAGGCAGCAAGGAGAGAGACATGAAGAGCAGCAAGCAGTAAGCCATGGGGATGGTGAAAGCTGTGCCTGTCTGTGCCACACAGCGCCAGCTCCTCAATGCTCTCCGGTAGTATGGACGTGCGCCTGTCACTCAGATGCCAACGATCCTGGTAGCGGGGAGAGGGGCGCAGGGTGAGAAAGCAGCAGGTGGAGAGGGGCGTAGGGGAACTGAAGGCGGGAAAGGAGACACTGAGGATGACGATGAGGGCGTCTCTGTGTCTGTCTGTGCAGCACAGCGCCAGCTCCCCCATGCTCTCCGGTAATACGGACGTGCACTTGTCACTCAGATGCCAGCAGTCCTGGCCACAGGAGAAGGGTGTGAAGAGCAGCAGCAAGGGGGCAGCGCAACATGATTTGATATGAAATCAAATAAACAGAGGGGGGGAAAACGAACAACCCTGCTTCTCCCAGATTTTTTCTTTAATAAACGGATGGAGGACAAGCTCTTGAAAGGGCAAAAGAACAAAGACCTAGGATACACTGATGAATAGAAGTCGGATGTGGATTTCGCGTACTGAAGAAAAGAATAGTCTTTTGAGACGTTGTAACAAAACGTTTTTATGGCTGGTGCAATTCAAGTGAAGTCTGGGAACCACAGGGCCGGGCTCGATTTCCTGTTGCTAGTTAGAGAAGAACATCTTTTAACCAGTTCTAGTCGCCACAAGGAGCATCGTATCCCACCAGCTGTATTTCCAAGTTTAAAAAAGTCTCAATGCTGACTGGCAAACAACACTCGCTCACCAGTTCTAGTCGTCGCAAGGAGCAGCGTTTCCCACCAGCCGATTTCTTTCCAACGCCCCCGGTCTCCCCACCGCAATCCAGATTCTGATTCTCGTCCTTTCCTCCATCCTTCTTCTCTTCCTCCTCCTCCTCCTCTGCCCTCCCCCTCTTCCTCCCCGTCCCTTTCTTCCCCACCCCCTCCTTGCCTTTTTCTCCCCCCGCACCCTCCCTAGTCCCAGCAGCTCCCAGCCTGAAGCAGAGCGCAGCAAAGGCAGCATCGTTGAGGCAGGGGCTTCCGGCCTTGAGGTCGAGAAATGTTAGGGCGGGGAGCAGACTGGGAGACGAACGGAGAGGATGTGGAAAAGAGAAAGAGGAGAGAGTGGGACAGAGCGCAGTGAATGCAGCGTCGTTGAGGCAAGGGCTTCCGGCCTTGAGAGTGATGGATGAAGGGAGCGCAGGAGCAGACTGGGAGGGGGCGGAGAGGGGAAATGAGGGAGGAGAGGGATGGTATACCGAGGTGCTACATGGAAAGGCAAATATCAAAGTGCTGTCAGGTTTAGGTTGACGTGCTGATGGGGAAACGGAGCGAAGGAGACACTTATAGCAAGCTCTGCTGAAGATTTAAGAGTTTTGGGTGGACGGATGACATGGCAAGTAGCATCCTGTTGCCAGCGTGGCACTTACCTAAGCGGGTGCCAGCATGGCACTTGCCGCACATGTTGCCAGCCAGCGTGGCACTTATCTCACCTGTTGACAGCGTGGCGCATGAGGGAGCATGACATGGCGGCATGCGCCCTATCAGCCAATGACAGATGGCCTAAGACCCTAGCCAGCAACTGCAGAGGGGGAAGCCGTGGGATGGACAGATCAGCAGAACGGCATGGTATTTTTCAAGAAGTGTTAAGAACAAACCCAATCTGTGTATATTTGAAACTCTGTCAGCTTGACAGCAATGATGCATAATACACGTCGGATACAAACAACGTAAATCCAAATTCGAGTGGTAGACAGATCCTCGAGCAAGAATGCCGTACCTCAAACGGCAAGCGACAGATGTCAGACGCGGATTCGGGCTCGTGAGAAGGCGTGATGTAATGGTGCAGCGACGGGTTGCCCTTGGTATTGACGGCCTCAGTACTCGCCATTTTCGCGAATTCCACAAGCGTCTTACAAACTTTGATCTCGCAACCACGGTCACATGTGAATCGACGCAATGGTAACCGAGAATCTAAGGAGCAACTGTAAGAACCACCAAAAACATGTATGCGGTTAGCTTTACGCAGGCTTCGACAGAATCGTTAGGCCAAAAGATGACAGTTCTCGTTTAAAAGACGCACGTGTAATCATAGTTTTAGGAAAAGGTATTTTTTAGTGAAGGACGGCACTAATCTGCGCGGCTCGAAACCACCGCCAAGCTTTCTGACAGGCGAAGTCATAACGGCTCAAATTTTGCTGCTCCTGTCGTGGTTCGTTATTGATGCACTCTCTGATCGTAACAACTCTAATAAAACAGGTAAACAGTAAAGGCAGATGATATTTGGTTGGAGTATATGATCAAGTCTTCAAGAGCTAAGTACATAAAAATATATGTGAACTAGTTTCTAGATGTGTGTAGGTTTTCAAAACAGTGGATAATAAAAAAACAGGATAGCCTATTTCCATTCGAATTGAATCCATTTAAAGTGGCTCTAACTTGGGCAGATGCTGCCCAATATGGAGTTTTAATTTATGTAACTCAGTAGATCCAATCAGTCTCTCAACAGCCTACCGGAGAATGCAATAACGCTTTCAGTCACGATACCGAAACCCAAGCCTTCCCAAAACCAACTAAACCTTCAAAACCCTTCTCACTCCTTTTTTCACAGCGAGTCTGCCAAACCATGAATCCTGTTATAAGACCTAGCTCTTTCATAAACCCGTCAATTATCGCACTGAAGCATTCGTGCCGCACATCCTCCCTCCGTAATAACTCATCATTTCGAGCTACCAATAAGGACGTAGCCATGACGTCATCTAATCAGCAAAGGCGCAAGAAGCGGCAGGGGCAGCAGAAACAGCCAGGGCAACCAGAGTCTGCGGAAGCGGTCCAATTGACGGGGGGAGAGGAGGAGGAGCAGCATCCCGCGGCGGAACCGATGGAAACTAGCGGGGCGGCGCAGGAAGCGCAAGCGGGGGCGCAAGCGGCGGAGGGTAGCTCAGGAGGCGCAGGGGATAAGGAATTGACGAGCGCCGATTATTACTTCGACTCGTACGCCCACTTCGGTACTTTCCCGCTTTTACCAATTTCACTTCCTTTCTTCGTAGCGTCGCGGGTTCGTAAACTCGCGGCATGATTGGTGTTCACCGGCATCGGGAATGTAATTTCGTAATTTCCCAACTCCCGAGGCCTAATGGTTCGGGGATGGGATTCTGGTTTCGGAGGTGATGAGCCGCCTCGAAAGTGACACGAGTTTTTAGGCGCTTTCTGAGTCGCCATTTTTTTTCTCCTGACTCCCGACGCTTCACGGTGCGCACGAACCAAGACGTGCGGGGCTAGAACTTCAACCCAAAACCCGTTCACCTTCAAACCCGCATCTTCCCCGTTTCTCTCCTCGTTCACCTTGGGAATCAAGGAGGAGATGCCTAATAACACCGTGCTCTGGGAACTTCCAAAAGTTCTGAGACGTCTTACAGGTTATGCTCTCTTAAAGCCCACCGTCTCCCGTCATTCCCCTCCAATCCGGTTCGTCGTGCAGGCATACACGAGGAGATGTTGAAAGACGCGGTGCGCACCAAGACGTACGAGGCCGCCATCTGCGGCAGCACGTTTCTGTTCAAGGACAAGGTCGTCATGGACGTCGGTGCTGGCACGGGGATATTGTCCCTCTTCGCCGCTAAAGCAGGGGCCAAGAAGGTGTACGCGGTAAGGCTTGCCCCTTTACTGCTTTAGTGCTGTGTGTGAAAGAGTACGTTTCTGTTCAAGGACAAGGTCGTCATGGACGTGGGTGCTGGCACGGGCATTCTCTCGCTCTTTGCTGCCAAGGCTGGGGCTAAAAAAGTATACGCGGTAAGAGCTGCTTCGATATGCGGTAAGGAATAGCACCTGTCTGTTGCAGCACGTTTCTGTTCAAGGACAAGGTCGTCATGGACGTGGGTGCTGGCACGGGGATTCTCTCGCTCTTCTCCGCCAAAGCGGGCGCTAAGAAAGTATACGCGGTAAGAGCTGCTTCGATATGTGGTTATGAATTGCGCCTGTCAGCGGCGAGAGCACGTTTCTGTTCAAGGACAAGGTCGTCATGGACGTGGGTGCTGGCACGGGGATTTTGTCCCTCTTTGCTGCCAAGGCGGGAGCCAAGAAGGTGTACGCGGTAAGGAGTAGTTCTATTACGCGGTAAGAGCACGTTTCTGTTCAAGGACAAGGTTGTCATGGACGTCGGCACTGGCACGGGAATTCTCTCGCTCTTTGCGGCAAAAGCGGGGGCCTAGAAGGTGTACGCGGTAAGAGCTCGTGCCTGTACGCGCTAAGAGCTGCTTCTGTTCGCGGTAAGGACTTTTCTGTACACACGGTGTAAAAAACTGTTGTCGATGTTCCAATTTCAAACCCGTTCCATCCTGTACAGATGGAATGCTCAGAGATTGCGGAGTGCGCGCGCGAAATTGTCGCAGCCAATCACATGGACCACAGTGAGTTGACCTATCGTGATTTGGTATGGTGCACTCACTGTAATACAGTGATTTCCGTTCCACCAGGCCCGTTTCACAGGTTTCCAGGCTTTTGGGTGGTGTTGTTTATTACATGGGAGAGATCAGGTCTAAACCTCGGGGTTAAGTTTTCGGGTTTAGGGTTTGGACACACACCTCACCTCCTCGCCCGCAATGTCCCTTTTCCCTAAAACCTTGTCCGCCTGAGCCCAACGCCTCTTCATCTCCCCCGTCTTCCCCGAACCCCTTCTTCCTTTCGCAGTAATCACGGTGATTAAAGGGAAGGTGGAGGACGTGGAGCTGCCAGAGGGGGAGAAGGTGGAGTTGACACCCATCCACAACCCTCCCCACTGCTCTCTACCTCTCTGCCTCCAAACCCCCCATTTCTCCCCTCCCCTGCAGTAATCACGGTGATCAAAGGGAAGGTGGAGGACGTGGAGTTGCCAGAAGGGGAGAAGGTGGATGTGATTATTTCGGAGTGGATGGGCTATTTCCTGCTCTATGAGTCCATGCTCGACACTGTGCTCTTTGCCAGAGACAAATGGCTGGTGCGTTATACAGATGGTTCAGGGCTCAATTCTCAGTGCTGGCAGTTACCATTTATATCGGAGTGGATGGGCTACTTCCTGCTCTACGAGTCCATGCTCGATACAGTGCTGTTTGCACGGGACAAGTGGCTGGTGAGTGTAACCGGGTTACCACATGGGAGTGGATGGGCTACTTCCTGCTCTACGAATCCATGCTTGACAGTGCTGTTTGCCAGGGACAAATGGCTGGTGCGTTATTGTAAAGATGGTTCAGGGTTCAATCCGCAGTGCTGGCAGTTTCCATCCATACTGGAAAGGATGGGCTACTTCCTGCTCTACGAATCCATGCTTGACACAGTGCTGTTTGCCAGGAACAAATGGCTGGTGCGTTATTGTAAAGATGGTTCAGGGTTCAATCCGCAGTGCTGGCAGTTTCCATCCATACTGGAAAGGATGGGCTACTTCCTGCTCTACGAGTCCATGCTCGACACAGTGTTGTTTGCACGGGACAAATGGCTGGTGGGTGGATGTTCATTTTGTTTTTAGGGTAACTTGGTCACCATAACAGAGTGGATGTGTCACTTTCTGCTCTGCAAATCCATGCTTGATACTGTGCTGTTTGGTTAAGTGTAAGAGAACCCTCGAATTGTGATGCACATGGTCGCGGGTTCAATTGTCGCAATTGACAACTTTGCACTATTCAGCGGTGTTGCCATGCATGGCTGCTTCCTGCTCTCCACGAGTCTATGCTCGATATTCTGCTGCATGCCAAACAGAGGCATGCTCCTGCTGGACCAATGCTCTCTGTACTGTACCATGTCTGTCTTCTCATGCTGCATGCTTTCTCCTGCCTGCATCTTCTTGCTGCCCTGCATTTATGCGTGCGTGCGTGCATGTGTGTGCAGACAAAGGGAGGCATCGTGGAACCAGACCACTGCTCGTAGCACCTGGTGCTGTGTCGTTTCTCATTCTTCCCCTGCGCTTATATCCCACGACGCGCGCCCCTTGTTTGTTTCTCTCGTTTGTGAATGTGTATGTGCAGACAAGCGGAGGCATAGTGCTGCCGGACCACTGCGCACTGTACCTGGTGGCAATAGAAGACGCGGAGTACAAGCAGGAGAAGATCCACTGTGAGTGGAGAGAAGGGAGGATGGGGGGGGGGAAGAGGGTAGGAAGGGGAACCACTGGCCGTGTGCTGCGTGCTCCCCCGTTATGCTGTATCTGGTGGCGATAGAAGATGCAGAGTGCAAGCAGGAGAAGATCAACTGTGAGTGCACCAGGGGAGGGTAGGTTCATTGTGAGAGTCCATTTCGGGCCTCGTAACAAAGTAACTTACGAATAAGTTCGGTGAGAATGATGCACACTGATTGGCGAGTACGAGATCGTCTACAGTCGTGAAGCGTCGCAAGGTGGTCGCCTGCTGCATCTTCTCTGCTGCATCTTCTCTGCTGCATCTTCTCTGCTGCATCTTCTCTGCTGCATCTTCTCTGCTGCATCTTCTCTGCTGCATCTTCTCTGCTGCATCTTCTCTGCTGCATCTTCTCTGCTGCATCTTCTCTGCTGCATCTTCTCTGCTGCATCTTCTCTGCTGCATCTTCTCTGCTGCATCTTCTCTGCTGCATCTTCTCTGCTGCATCTTCTCTGCTGCATCTTCTCTGCTGCATCTTCTCTGCTGCATCTTCTCTGCTGCATCTTCTCTGCTGCATCTTCTCTGCTGCATCTTCTCTGCTGCATCTTCTCTGCTGCATCTTCTCTGCTGCATCTTCTCTGCTGCATCTTCTCTGCTGCATCTTCTCTGCTGCATCTTCTCTGCTGCATCTTCTCTGCTGCATCTTCTCTGCTGCATCTTCTCTGCTGCATCTTCTCTGCTGCATCTTCTCTGCTGCATCTTCTCTGCTGCATCTTCTCTGCTGCATCTTCTCTGCTGCATCTTCTCTGCTGCATCTTCTCTGCTGCATCTTCTCTGCTGCATCTTCTCTGCTGCATCTTCTCTGCTGCATCTTCTCTGCTGCATCTTCTCTGCTGCATCTTCTCTGCTGCATCTTCTCTGCTGCATCTTCTCTGCTGCATCTTCTCTGCTGCATCTTCTCTGCTGCATCTTCTCTGCTGCATCTTCTCTGCTGCATCTTCTCTGCTGCATCTTCTCTGCTGCATCTTCTCTGCTGCATCTTCTCTGCTGCATCTTCTCTGCTGCATCTTCTCTGCTGCATCTTCTCTGCTGCATCTTCTCTGCTGCATCTTCTCTGCTGCATCTTCTCTGCTGCATCTTCTCTGCTGCATCTTCTCTGCTGCATCTTCTCTGCTGCATCTTCTCTGCTGCATCTTCTCTGCTGCATCTTCTCTGCTGCATCTTCTCTGCTGCATCTTCTCTGCTGCATCTTCTCTGCTGCATCTTCTCTGCTGCATCTTCTCTGCTGCATGAGAAGGTACACTCTGAGTGCAGGAGCAAATGAGTGTGGTTTGCATACAAGGGGTGGGGGGGAAGGGCGGGGGGCTTCAGGCGATGTGTTTCACTCCCCATTTTGCTCTCTTTATCCAAACGTGCAGGAAAGGTGTTTATATGCGTACGAACTCCCTTTCACACCCCCTCTACCCTTGCGTCTTTCCTCCCCAGTTTGGCAGTCAGTCTACGGGTTTGACATGAGCTGCATTCGAGACAAGGCCATGTTGGAGCCTCTGGTCGACACTGTAGACGCCGAGCAGATCGTTACCAATGCATGCCTTGTCAAGGTGAGAAGTAGGACCCGTATGCGCAGTTAGACCCCCATTCACCACTTAGGACCTTCATGCACTGCTCCCTCGCGCCCTCTCGCTCATACGGGTCCTACGCCCTCTCTCGCGCTTCTCGCTCATTTGAGACAAGCCCATGTTGGAGCCTCTGGTCGACACTGTGGACGCCGAGCAGATCGTCACCAATGCATGCCTCGTGAAGGTGAGAAGTAGGACCCGTACGCACCAACCCCCCTCTCTCCCCCTCACTCGCTCATTCGAGACAAGGCCATGTTGGAGACTCTGGTCGACACTGTGGATGCAGAGCAAATCGTAACTATTGCATGCCTCGTGAAAGTGAGGCATCTGGTTGCTCTCTCCCTTCTTCTGCCCCTCTATTCCATTACCCTTTCTCTGGTCCCCTTCTCTTCCATCCTTCTCTTTTTGAGTCGCGTGACATTAGCAAGCAATGTGACACGTGGACGTGGCGACCTCTCCTTCTCAGTGCCCTTCAAGCTCGTGTCTGAGAGGAAGAGAAACAGAGCTTTGTGTATGCTCTGTTACTCACCTGCTCCCCATCCCTTCCGCTCCTCCTCCCCCTTCTCTTCCCTATGATATGCACCCCCCAAACCCCTTACCCCACCCCAGTCGCTCGACATCAGCTAGGTGACAAGGGGCGATCCCTCCTTCTCAGTGCCCTTCAAGCTTGTCGCAGAGGGTAATGACTTTGTGCATTCTCTCTTTCTCACCTGCTCCCCTTTCTCCCTTCTGCTTCCGCTGTCTCTTCCCTATCCCCCAAAACCCCTCCCTTGCTCCACTCTCCTCACCCCAGTCGCTCGACATCAGCAAGGTGACAAGGGGTGATCTCTCCTTCTCAGTGCCCTTCAAGCTTGTAGCGGAGAGGAATGACTTCGTGCATGCGCTCGTGGCCTACTTTGATGTTGGTTTCACCAAGTGCCACAAGCCCATTGGCTTCTCAACAGGTCAGCATAAGGCACACACTCTCTTAGGATGGGGTATATGCGGTTACTTCCCTGGTGGGTGGCGAGAGGAACGAGTGGCAGAGAGGAGTGACTTTGTGCTTGCGCTCGTGGCCTATTTTGACGTGGCCTTCACCAAGTGCCACAAGCCCATTGGCTTCTCAACAGGTAAAGCACGAGGCACAACCTGTGAGCGTGGGGTACACACTTTCTTAGGATGGGGGTATATGCGGTTGCTTCCTTGGTGGGTGATGGAGAGGAACGGGTGGCTTAGAGGAATCACTTTGTGCATGCGCTCGTGGCCTACTTTGATGTTGACTTCACCAAGTGCCACAAGCCCATTGGCTTCTCTACAGGTGAGCATGAGCATGGGGTGCATGCTACAATGTTAGAAACCTGGAATACACAAACATGCCGAGTGATTCCCTTCTTTGACTTTGAACTGCTCACTGTCTTCCTTATTGATTCCCTTCTTCGCGCCCTGTATTGGCATTCTCTTCCATCTCTCCCTCCCTTTTCTTCACTCTATGCCATACGCCGTTCTCGTTAATTTTTTTTTCCCCTTTGTTTACAAAAGTCTACCTTCCTTTTCGTATGCAACTTCTGCAGGACCCAAGAGCCGAGGCACGCATTGGAAGCAAACAGTGCTATACCTGGAAGACACCCTAACTATGTGTGAAGGGGAAGCGGTTACTGGAACCATGCAGGTGAAGCCCAATGCTAAGAACCCTCGCGATCTAGACATATCAGTGACTTACAAGTTTGATGGTCGTAGAGGCAAGGCTTCACGCACCCAACATTACCGCATGCGGTGATGTGGGTAGTGCTTGCGCTTGGGAGGAGTTTTTGAAAGTGTTTTTTTGGTTAGTTGATTCTTTATGCAGATAGATGCATTTCAGCCATTCTTGTGATCAATATTATATGTTCAAAGAAGTATTCTTTGGTTTTTGAACTGCTCTAGAGAAACAGGGTTGTCTTGTGTCAGAATATCACCGCGTTCGCCATTTCGAAACCAAATCCCGAGGGCTACTGGTGAGATGGTTTACGTCCCAGAGTGGCTGAGTTACATGTTAGTACGGTTGGGTAGGGTTTCAAGCATGAATTTGAATAAATCACTTCTCCGCCTTGGGATTGTCGTCGCTGGGATTTGGTTCTTCCACCATCAACTGAAACGTTGCTGACTGCAGAAGCACCTTCACGGATGACACTATTCCCGTGTCGCTCTTCTGAGCGATTCTCCCTTCACGCCACGCATGATTCCGACGACTCGCACTTCGTACCGTTCCCGTTCTAACTCAGCGTCGCTTTAAAACCAGAGTAGCATTTCCTCCAAAGCTTGTTCTGGGTCTCGACCTGAAACATCTCCTTTAGCAGTCCTTCGATTAGAATGCTTGTAGAATCCTCGCAGAATCCCTGCAAAATCCTTACAATATCCTCTGAGGGTCCTCATAGACTCTGAAGGATGACTCTCTGTTGTCCAAAGTGTGTTCCAGTGCGTCTGGCCGCCTGTTCCGCTCGTGCCGCTCCGCATCCGCACGGCGTTTCACTGATCAGGTGCCAGAATGTCATCTTCGTTCCGAACCCGAGGCTCCTTAGGATTCCTGCGTCTAAACCGTATCTCTGCCTAAAACGCGGATGTAGTGTAGCACACCGCGGGTTCGATTTACAGCACAAATACCTTGGCGTACAACGTGTTCAAACCAGATGCAGCTTGCATCGTTGGAATACTGATGCGCCAGAAAGGCGACGCTCTTTGGAGGAAAATGAGAAGTACAGTAACGTGGATGGGGATGGGAGGGAAGTTTCGACATTCTCGGTTACGACTACGGCAGAGGAAAGAGAGATGATTCTAAAGGCGCCTCGTGGATTGGATGAAGAGGAGAGGCGACTCGGGTGGACAGGGCGGACGAGGAGTGAGGGTAGGAGTATGAGCAGGAGTGACGGTGGGGGGTTAGGGAACGGCACAGTCAGACAAGTATGGAGACGAGGAGATAATTCACGTCTCCTCCGGAGAGGGGAGGATCAGCCTAGACTACGGAGCAACCAGAGGATGGAGGACAGTAGATTTAGAAATTTTGAGGGTACGTCGGACGGGAGAGGAGGGATTGGGGTGATAGCGGATAGCGAAGCAGACAGCATATCAGTGACGCTCACGGATGCTGACTCTCGTGTTGTACTCGTTAGTAGCAAGGCGGATTTGCTCCCACACGGTGACGCACTAAATGGGTCCACCATATGGCACGAGCGGGGTCCTGCGAGGCAGGAGCAGGATCCAGCTAGGCAGCAGCTGCTGTACCTGGAAAGGTGTGGGAGAGAGGGGAGAGCAGCAGAGGCACTGATGATACTGGGAGTGATGGGAGGGGAGGAGGCTCGGGTAGAGGAGGAAGAGGAGGAGGAGGGGGAGTGGGAAGAGGAGGGTTACGGAGCGAGAGGGCATGGAGGATCAGGTGGTATGAGAAGGAGAGGTGAGAGAGGTGTTGACAGGAGTTGGTTCAATGCAGCGGCCTTCTGTCATGCCATGTGTGCGTTACTCAATGCTGATTGGCCACTGGCTGCGTCCGGACGTGCTGACGTGGACGCTGAGTCGTCGCCAGCTGGCAACCGTTGTGCATCCCCTTCTGTGTCTTCTTTTGGACGAGTCTCAGATGCTGCGTCAGCACTCGACGCCCGGATGGCAGCAGTCGGAGTCATGCCCAACCGGCAGTTTTGTCTTCTTCTGGTGGAGGCTTATCTGAGGGACGGGAGGGTGGAAGAAGCGGAGGAGGCGTGTGAGAGAGTGAGGGAGGAGGGTTGGAAGGTTTCTGGGAAGGTTCTGAGAAGGATTGTGCGTGCTTGGGCGAGAGAGGGGAGAGCGGGGGAGGCAGAGGAGGGAGTGAGGGAGATGGTGAAGGAAGGGGTCCAATTGGATGTTGCCACGTGTAACAGCATGATTGGGCTGTATGCTCGCGTGGGGGCGTATGACAAGGCAGGGCGAGTATGGGAGTGGATGGAGGAGAATGGCGGAGAAGAGGAGGAAACGGAAGGGGAGTGGGGACAGAGCGGAGGGGAGTGGGAAGAGAAAGGAGGAGCAGAAGGAGGAAGGAAGAGGAGAAGCAGCAATGATTGCACTCCAACGGAAGCAACGTATCGTGCCCTCATTCGCATGTGAGCCTGGGATTCGGTGTGTGAGAGCGTGTAATGAAGATGGCGCCTCTGTGTTTCCTCGCGCTGTCAGTTTTTACACCTCCCTGTTTCCGGTTTTTTGTTCAAAAGCTGCAGCATTGTGTTTTTCTTTCCATGTCTTCAAAGCATTATACCTTTACTGATGCCGCGATTTAAGACGTCTCAAAAGTTGTCTTCAAAACATCATTCTCCATGCTCCATATACCACCGATGCCACGTGTCACACACATACATACCCCATGGACATGCCTAGTACCACATACCCAAACCCCATGTGTCATGGAACAGATACATCATCAACACCCATACACATGCCTAATATCCCATACCAGGTACACCCACGCAGGGCATGCCCAATGAGGCCACCCACGTGCTGCATGCCATGAGCGCACGTTGTACCTGACCACATGCCCCATGCCACATGCCATGCCATATACCCCATGCAACACCACATACCACACCAGGTACACCCATGCGAGCATGCCCAACGACGCCATTCATGTGCTGCATGCCATGAGTGCGCATGCCCTGCTGTGGTGCCCATAAATCCGATGTATCACCACATATCAACCCCTGCGTGCGCCACCACACCAGGTACACCCATGCGGGCATGCCCAACGACGCCATTCATGTGCTGCATGCCAAGAGCGCGCATGCCCTGCTGTGGTGCCCATAAATCCGATGTATCACCACATATCAACCCCTGCGTGCGCCACACCACCAGGTACACCCATGCGGGCATGCCCAACGAGGCCATTCACGTGCTGCATGCCACGAGCATTGAGTGCGTGTTGTACCTAATCACATATCCCATGCCTCACATACTTGATTAACCCCCCACACCACACCACACCACACCACACCACACCACACCACACCACACCACACCACACCACACCACACCATCAGGTACACCCATGCGGGCATGCCCAACGAGGCCATTCACGTGCTGCATGCCATGCACGCTCGCGGTTTTCCGTGGAGGGATGGCCTGCTGGCGTCAGTCATTCGCTGCCTTGCTGCTGCTGGCAGGTGGAGGGACGCTCAAGGTGAGTCACTGTGGTTTTTCTCTTTTTTCTCCCTGCCATGCCGCCCTCCCTCCTCGTTTCTCTCCCTACCCCCTTCCAGTCCTATTTCATGAAGCACAGCTTTCGCTCCAAGCCATATTTTGTATCGTCCTATTTTGTCCTGCACATGCGAAATTCATCGCTCTTCTTCCCCACTCCTCTCACTCTCCGTCCCCTTTCCAGACCTGTTTCACGAAGCACAGCGCATGGCCCAAGCCCTCGCAGACGAAGCATTTGCCGAACCAGCACCGCAGGCTCGGCCCGAACCTGTGGTCTGGAGGAGCATTCAGTTGGACCTTGCAGCTTTGGGACCGAGCCTGGTGTCTGGTGCTGCTTCGGGAACCATCGAGCTAGACCCAGCAGGGAGGGAGAAGCAGGTGGAGGGTGGTGACTGGGGGGGCGGCGTGCTGTTAGGGGAGAGGCAAAGGCAAAGAGACGTGGCAGGGGAGCAGGGAGGGGTAATAGCTGAGCAGAAGGACTTGATCGGCGAGCAGTCGTACAAGGCACTGATGGGTGCTTACCAACGCGCAGGGCAGGCGGAGCAGGCTGAGGAGCTGCTGCTGGCAATGGAAAAGCGAGGTGAGATGAGGAGAGGAGAGGAGAGGAGTGGACACAAGACAAGAGGAGAGGCGTAAATTGAGCAAAGAGAAGCGGTAAGCGAGCAATCAAGACCCTGATGGGTGATTACCAACGCGCAGGGCAGGCAGAGAGGGCTGAAGAGCTGCTGCTGGCGATGGAGAAACGAGGTGAGATGAGGGGAGGAGAGGGAAGGAGAGGAGTGGACAGGAGAGGAGAGGCGTAATCAAGTAAAGGGAAGTGGTAGGGGAGCAGTCGTACAAGGCACTGATGAGTGCATACCAACGGGCGGGCTGAGGAGCTGCTGCTGGTGATGGAAAGTTTTTTTTTGAGTCGACTCAAAAATCAACAAGGCACTGATGAGTGCATACCAACGGGCGGGCCGAGGAGCTGCTGCTGGCGATGGAAAAGCGAGGTGAGATGAGAGGAGAGGGAAGGAAGGAGGTGAGAGGCAGGGTGAGGAGAAGAGAAGAGAGGAGAGGATGCACATTATTGAAGATGTGCACTTGGCCGTGCATGCACGTTTTTGGGTGTATGTAGCATAACATATGGTCATGTGTTAGCATACCCCCTTCCATTCCATGCCAGCCATGCCCCTCACAGCCGATCCCTACCACATGGTCATGGACGCTCATGGCAGGGCTGACTGACCATGGACGCACATGGCAGGGCGGACTGACCATGGACGCTCATGGCAGGGCGGACTGACCATGGACGCACATGGCAGGGCGGACTGACCATGGACGCACATGGCAGGGCGGACTGACCTCCCTCTCCTCCCCTCTCAGCCTCGCCATTCTTGCTTCTCTCTCTCCTCCTTTCTTTCTGTCCCATGCATACCTCTCACTGTATACGGATCCCTACCACATGGTCATGGACGCACATGGCAGGTCGAATTAACTCACCGCTCCCCTCCTCCTCCTCCTCCTCCTCCTCCTCCTCCTCCTCCTCCTCCTCCTCCTCCTCCTCCTCCTCCTCCTCCTCCTCCTCCTCCTCCTCCTCCTCCTCCTCCTCCTCCTCCTCCTCCTCCTCCTCCTCCTCCTCCTCTTATGCTTGAGTTTACTCCAGGCATACCTCTCACTGCGGACCTCTACCACATGGTCATGGACGCACACGGCAGGCCAGGTGTGGATGGCTAACCTTCCCTTTCTCTTTCCTCACCCGCTGATCCTCGCCCCGTCTTGCCCCCTTCACTCCAGGCATGCCCCTCACTGCGGACCTGTACCACATGGTCATGGACGCACATGGCAGGGCGGGCAACACAGCAGCTGCAGAGGCCATTCTGGAGAGCCAGCTTGATTACACGAGACAACTTCCTGCCAAACCATCTGCCAAACCATCTGCCAAACCATCTGCCGAACCATCTGCCGAACCATCTGCCAAACCATCTGCCGAACCATCTGGTGGACCATCTGTTGAATCATCTGCCGCACCATCCCCCGGACCATCTGCCGAACTATCTGCTGAAACATCTGCCATACCGTCCTTCTCAGCGTCAGCCCCAGCAGCAATGAGCTTGAGATTAGGTGACGATGGCACCTCATCAGCAGGTGCCACGTCAGCCACAAGTGCCACGTCAGCATCATCAACCGCCAGCACACCGTTCGCGCCGCCCAGGCCAGACATCGTCCAGCTCACCTCCCTCGTGCACGCGTACCTGCGGGAGGGAAACTTCCAGGAAGCAGCAGTGCGTGTGCGGCAGATGAGAGAGCTTGGGCTGGTCCCCACCTACAAGACGTGGGCCACGGTGGTGAGCGGTGCAGCGCGGTGCAGAGATTTATCAGACTGCTGCTCTCTGCTGGAAGCACTCTCCTTTGTGGGGTTTGACGTTCCTGAGAGGTGAGTAACGGTATAGAGAGGTTAAGTGCTGCTGCAGGGACTAGGGAGGTCAATAATTCCTGTTTATTCCACGCTCCCTGTCCCCAACGTTTTCTCCTCTCCTCTCCTCTCCCTTTCTCCTCTCCTGTCCGCTCCTATCCGCTTGCACTCTCCTCTCCATGCAACCAACACCTCAGGCTGCTCCTCCAATGCGATGACGACACCTGGACGGACATCGACAGTCTGCTGACGTGGCTGCTGGAGAGGGATGCCAGCTGGACCACAGAAGAAAGCAGCGGGAATGGGAGTGCAGGGAAGGGTGTGGGGGAGGGCAGTGCAGCGAGGAGCACAGTCAACGTGCTGGTGGACCTGCTGTGGTGCTTTGGCCAGCGAGCCAGGGCCCACCGCCTCTTCCTCCTCTCCACCCACCGGGGTGTGTATCCTCGGTTCAGTGCTCGGTAGGTGCTGTGCGGTTGGTTGGTGTATGATTGGGTGATGAGTGGTGTGCATTTGGATGTTAAACATAAGTGTCGCAGCAGGGAGTGCAAGAATCAGGAGCACAGTGAATGTGCTGATAGACCTGCTGTGGTGCTTCGGCCAGCGAGCCAGGGCCCACCGCCTCTTCCTCCTCTCAGCCCACCGGGGAGTTTATCCGCGATTCACTGCCCGGTGGGTGCTGTGTGGTTCGATTGTGTCTAATTCGGTAGTGTGTGATTCTGTGGTGTCTGGCTATGTGTTCTCTGGTTTTGCTATAGTCAACCCTTAAGTGGTGTGTCTGGGCCGTGCTTCACAGCATTATAGCTGGTATAGTTGGTGTTCTTTCCCTCAAACCAGATGCGCCACTGCCTTTCTGTATCCCCCATCCCCATCTCCAGGGTTGCAGTTGACGACTGGAAGATGGACGTGCGCACGTTCTCCCCCCATCCCCCCACCCGCTCCTTGTCCCCCAACAGGCGTTCCCTCTGCCCTCCTCCTGCCTCTGCTCTTCTTCAACCCTCCCACCTCCCACCAGAGCTGCACCAGACGACTGGAAGCTGGATGTACGCACGCTCTCCCCCGGTGCTGCCCTTGTTGCGCTGCATCACTGGCTTGACATGGTGCAGGTCAGTCAGTCACCCCCACTCCCTCTTTGTCGCCTCTCATTCTCTCTATTCTGTCTTCCTCTCGTTCTTCCTCTCGTTCTTCTTCTCTTTCCGCCCACCAAAATGTCTCCCCAGTGCCGCCCTTATTGCTGTGCATCATTGGCTTGAAACGGTCCGGACTAGGGTCCCCCCTGCTTCTCTCCACTTCACTCTTTCTCCCTCCTCTTCCCTCTCCGCATTGCTACTCACCTCATTGCCCTGCCATGCAATGCATACTCGCTTGCCCATGCATGCTTCTCCATCCCTTTCATCTCCCTCCTCATCTTGACCATCCCCTACCATCCTCTCGCATCCCCATCATCCCCCCCCATTTCCACCATCCGTCCCAACAGGACGCAGCTCTCCAGGGTGTCCCAGCTCCCCGCCACGTCAGCATCGTGACAGGTGGCATGCTGCAGCGCGTCAGCAGCAGCACTGTGCCAGGTGGCAGCGTGTCATTGAAGCGCACGGTGCGCAGCTGGCTGTGGGCCATGGGGGCTCCATTCCGAGCTGACGAGGAGAGAGAGGGCGTGCTGGCAGCGAGAGGGTACTCTGTGGAGAGATGGGTCAAGGTGAGTCAACGCTGGTCAATGTGGGGTCAACGCTGGTCAACTGGGGTCTATCCTGGCGGGTGTGTGGCTGTGGGCCATGGGAGCTTCTGGTTGTGGATGGTCCATGGAACGAATTTTGAAGCACCTTAAGAGTCGCATGCAGCTGGCTGTGGGCCATGGGGGCTCCGTTTCGTGCTGATGAGGACAGGGAGGGCGTGTTGCCAGCGAGAGGGTACCCCGTGGAGAGATGGGTCAAGGTGAATCAATGCAGGTCAACAAAGGACACGTGGTTTGGCCTGACCATTATGTGTGAGTACGTGCGTGGGTCATTAGCTGCAGCCTCACAACACTATCCTTGTGTTTTCCCCCTCCTTCCACTCAGGATGCTCCAAGCTGTCAAGATCTGTCATTAGAAGACTCACCATATCCTACACCAACTAACACCATGTGCATATATGAAAATGCTCTTATGCGCACAGATGTCGTGGCTTTGTTACAAGAGCTAGACGAGCACGGGTTGTTGGATGGGAAAAGAGGACCTCCAAGGGTGATGTCGCGGCTATTGCGGATTAAAGAGGAGAAGAAGGATCAGTGGATAAAGATGCAAGCGGTGCTTACAGAGACGAGGGCGCAACGGGCTGCCAAGGCTAGGAAGAAACGTGATAGGAACAGGGAGCTTAGGAAAGCACGGAAAACAAAAAGGTGATATTTCTGGTTTGTGTCATCTCTTGGTGTTGGTGATACAATCTGTAAAATAGTCGCAGTTGGTGAACCTAAATAATTGTCAGTTTTACGGTAGCGGAAATGTTAAGGCAAGTTTACAATCTTCATTTCGATTCGTGACACACCTTTCGAAGGACCACTAACGCGGATTTTTTTAGACAGGCTTCATCCATGGTGAGTATGGTTCAGGAAGCGTTTGCATGCGTTCTGAGAGTTTCCCTATAGAAGACAGCGGTTGGGTATGGTTTTGAGCAATACACACCCGTACGCCTGATTCACCTTGCCCATTACACCCCCACCGCTAGGGTTTCCAGTGTCTTCTCCTGACCTCTTCCATAGCCTTCTATTCTTTTTACTCTCGCGCTCCGCCGTTCCATCCGTAGCCTCTCTTGGTGTCGCACTCTAGCTACCTATCTTTCTCCTTTCTTGGTCAATTGTTCGTGCCGTCAACCCAGCAGTTGATAGGTTTCATTGTCGCTTCCCTTTCTACATAGAGCTTAGCAGTTAAGGTTCCGCCACCATGCCGGCCACGGCGGGCCGCGTTCGCATGCCAGCGAACAACAGGGTGCACAGTAGCGCAGCCCTGCAAACGCACGGCATCTGGCAGAGCGCCATCGGGTACGATCCGTACGCTCCGGACGAAAAGAAAGCAGCCGACGGCGAGGATAACGCGTACGATAGCTTCCAAGGCCTGCTGCAGCTCGCGAAATTGACGGGATCTGGAGCCGACGCGGCTCGAGGTTCGTGCAAGAAGTGCCATCGAGTCGGACATTTGACGTTCCAGTGCCGGAATTTTCTGACGGCCAAGGAGGATGTTAACGTTCCGGCGGAGCTTACCGGCGGGCTGGGTGGACAGAAACGGCCGGGGATGGAGATTGCGGAAGAGGAGAGTGACGTATCGCTTAGCGATGATGACGCTGACGGGGATTTGGCTGAAGCGGCGCGTTTGCGTGGATTGATACCGTCGAAATCCGGAGATGGCGCTTCGGAGAAGAAGGAGAAGAAAGGAAACGATTTGAAAAAGAAAGACAAGAAAAAGAAGTCGAAGAAAAAGAGCAGCAGTAAGCGGAAGAGAAGAAAGTCTGATAGTGATGACGATTCGTTATCGGACGACTCGTTATCGGATAGTGATGACGACGATTCCTCGTCTTCAGACGACGACAGACGGAGGAGACGGAGGAAAGGCAAAAAGGAGCGGAAGCGGAGCAGCAAGAGCAAGAAGTCTTCGTCTTCACGCAGGCACAGGAGGCGGAGAGACGAGAGTGAGAGTGAGAGTGAGGAGAGTAGTGGGAGTGAGAGTGAGGAGATTTCTGATGACAGTGATAGCAGCGACGGGGCGAGGAGGAAGAGGAAGCGGAAGGACAAGGAGGGGAAGAAGAAAAAGCGGAGAGATAGGGACTGAGAGTGAGAGTGGGGATAGTAGTGGGAGTGGGATTGAGGAGGAGGTGTGTGATTCAACAGTGGTGGGACGAGGAGGAAGAGGACGTGGAAGGAAGGAGGGGAAGAAGCGGAGAGACAGGGACTGAGTTTCCGAATTCTTGCAGGTGTTTTTTCTGGTACTATGTTTCTATGATGCTGTAAGCCTTACGGTGGGTTTCTTTCTTCACTGCTCATGCAGCAATTGAAGCCTTTACCGCAGTTGTTTTCTCAGCACATCATTGCAACAGCTCAAAGGGAGAAGACATATTCTTCATAAATGTTTACATACACTAGTTGGTGCAGAGCTGTTGATATTACGGGCATTATGCCCTTACACAGCACTGCTCTATGGCATTTCTTCACATACCTACAAGTGTGACAGCCACTAAACAAATGTAACCCCTATTCTCATGTTCTGCACTTGGCATGACTCTCGCCTGTCAATATTTAACAGGTAGCAGCAATTTATTACAGGGTACAGCAGCTTATCACCACCACACAACCAACCACAACCACACCCCACTCATTTCAGCCACTGTGCACCCCAATCACACACAAGACCTCAACAATACTGCACCAAACCATTGGCACCGCACAGAAACGTCTCAAATCCCATCACACAGCTCCAAATGCCTTCATTCTTGCCGTCGCCTGCCATCTCAACTGCCAAAACTCACTCTGTTCTGCTGCACCTGCTGATCCCAGCCCAATGTTTAGATTGAGGGATCCCGGCCCAGCACCTTCCTTATACCCCCTCCCACCCCGCCCCAACTGCTTCTGTTGTCCACACTGCCCACTGCACTGCACTTGCATGGCTTAGTGTTATTTTCCTTATCCTACTGCTGCTGCTGCTGCTTCTGCTGTTGCTGCTGCTGGTGGTGGTCCTGTGCTCCAGTGGCAAACACACCGCCCACCCACTGCAGTGCAGGTGCACAGCAGCACAACCTACCGGTAATGAAACCCTCACTCCTGATGTCGCCAGTGCCTCGACAGAAACCCTCCTCTCTCCCTCTCAGTCCAAGTCCAGTGCCGAACCAATGAAATCACATGCCCTTTACCTCCCCTCATCTTGCTCCTACACATAATCCTGCTGCTCATGTGCTGCTGTACCAACCACACTCCCCCCCACTGCAGTGCACCGCCGTGCAGGTGCACAGCAGCACAGCCTAATTAAAGCCTCAGCCCTGACGCCTCCGATGCCTCAGTTGCAAAAACCCTCCTCTCCGTTTCCCAGCCCAAGACCGGTGCCGAACCCCAGGAAACACACAATCCTCACTCTTCCCTCCTATTGCTGCTCTGTCAACCCAAAGAAGCCTCACCCCTAGTGCCGCCAGTGCCTTAACCGCAGAAACCCTGCTCTCCGTTTCCCTGCCCAAGCCCGGTGCCGAACCCCAGGAAACACACGGCCCTCCACACTCCCCTGACCAACAGGTCCCGGCCTGGCTGTTCTCTCCTGGCTCACAGGGACAGATGCCAGCTCGCTGCCTACCCTGGCCGCTCCGCTGGTAACATTGTTACAACAAGCCCCTCCGGGAGACAGAGACAGCTCATTTTCTTGTGCCAAAGTCACCATGTTCCCGGATTTGAAAAGAGTGTCGGAGAGAACAGAGCGCAACTTAAAGCCCCCAGGGGTGTCTGGCTCTCGGGGTTTGAAGCTGGAGGCAGGGGGGGATGGGGTGGGTGAGGTGGTGGGTTTGGGTGAAGGAGAAGGCTGGGGAACAGGCTTGGGAGAAGGCTTGGGACTGGGCTTTGGGCTAGGCTTGGGGCTAGGCTTTGGGCTAGGCTTGGGGCTCGGCTTGGGACTAGGGTTGGTACTAGGGTTGGGGCTAGGCGTGGGGCTCGGCTCGGGGCTCGGTTTGGGAACTGGTTTGGGGCTAGGCTTGGGGCTAGGCTTGGGACTAGGCTTGGGGCTAGGTTTGGGACTAGGCTTGGGGCTAGGCTTGGGGGGAGGCGCAGGAGCGTAGAGGCCGTCAGGAGTGGGGTTGATGAGAGGTTCCCGGCGAAGCATCTCGTAGAATAGATCGACCCACACGTCTGGCACTCCTGGTTGGCACCAGTGCAGACAGTCGGAACCTTTCTTCTTCTGCCAGGGGAGGGGGGGGGAAGGAAAAAGGAAGGGGGAATGAGTGTTAGGGGTGGGGTTGATGAGGGGCTCGCGGGTAAGGGTAGGGAAAGGGATACAGGTGTGGAGAGTGGGGATAATGAGGGGTTCTCATAGAAAAGGTCGACCCACACGTCTGGCACTCCGGGCTGGCACCAGTGCAGACAGTCGGACCCTTGCTTCTTCTGCCAGGGTATGGGGATCGGGGTTACAATGGAAGGGAAGCAAGGGAAGGAAAGGAAAGGAGCATGAGGCCGTCAGGAGTGGGGTTGATGAGACGCTCTCGGCAGAGCATCTCGTAAAAGAGGTCAACCCGCATGTCGGGTACCCCTGGCTGGCACTAGTGCAAACAGTTGGACCCTTGCTTCTTCTGTCAGGAATGGAGGAGAATGGAGGGAAAGGGACACAGGTGTGGAGAGTGGGGTTGATGAGAGGCTCTCTCCGCAGCATTAGACAGTCCGACCCACATGTCGGGTGCCCCTGGCTGGCACTAGTGCAGACAGTCCGAACCTTGCTTCTTCTGCCAGTGGTCAAGGGATTGGGGTTACAACAGAAGGGAAGCAAGGGAAGGGAGGCACTAGTGCAGACAGTCCAAACCTTGCTTCTTCTGCCAGGGTTGGGGTTTAGGGAGAATGGAAGAGAAATGAAGGAAAGAAAGAAAGGCAGAGTGTGGGTGTGGGGAGTGGGGTTGTGATGAGAGGTTCCCCCGTCTGGCAAAGAAGAGTGCTTCGCAAGCATCTTGTAAAAGAGTGCTTCGCAAGCATCTTGTAAAAGAGTGCTTCGCAAGCATCTTGTAAAAGAGTGCTTCGCAAGCATCTTGTAAAAGAGTGCTTCGCAAGTCACCCCGCTCATGAATCCCCCGATGTGTGCCTCGGGGCTAGCGGCACTCATGCTGGTGATGTCCATGCGACGGACGGTGGCATTGGCAGGGAAGACCTGCTTTTGGTGAGAATGCATGTAAAAGGCCGTGTCGCACTCTTCTCCCTTCCAATCAAGCCACACACCCCCATCAGCGCACCCTCCTCACACTCACCCCGCCCATGAATCCCCCGATGTGTGCCTCAGGGCGAGCGGCACTCATGCTGGTGATGTCCATGCGATGCGACGGACAAACATATGCCATTGACAGCACTCACCCTCTTCCTCATCGTGGCACATAGCACTCACCCCGCCCATGAATCCCCCGATGTGGGCCTCGGGGCGAGCGGCGCTCATGCTGGTGATGTCCATGCGACGGACGGTGTAGCTCGGAGTGAAGACCCGCTTCTGGATGGGCAGGAAGAGCTTCATTTGCACGTTGGTGCGCTGTAGCTTGCCCATCTGTTGATTGGAAGAGGGGAGTAGGGGACAAAGGTGGGGGGCCGGCACTGGGAGTGAAGACCTTCCTCTGGATGGGCAGGAAGAGCTTCATCTGCACGTTGGTGCGCTGTAGCTAGCCCATCTGTTAGGAATGGGTGGGTGGAGAGGGGGGAGGGGAACGGGGAAGGGAGTGGATAGGAGGTCCTGGAGGACTTGTGTTCGGATGGGCAGAAACAGCTACGTGGATATTTCTTTTGAGAATTCCCAAAAGAAATATCCACGTAGAGGACTTGTGTTCGGATGGGCAGAAACAGCTGCATCTGCACGTTGGTGCGCTGTAGCTTGCCCATCTGTCAGTTGGGAGAGGGGTAGGTAGAGGGGGAAAGGGCGGATGGGGAAGGGGAGGGCGGCTGGTGTGAGTGAGGAGGAAAAGGAAAGGCGCAGCACTGGTAATGAAGACCTTTCTCCGGATGGGCACGAAGAGTTTCTTTTGCATGTGGTGCGCTTAGCTTGCCCATCTGTTAAGATTGGGTGGGGAGGGAGGGGCGAGAGATGGGGGGTTGGGAAAGGGAGTGATAGGAACGACAGGGAAGGCTTGCCTCTCAGGGAGAGAGTGGGGAGAGAAAGCGGAGAGTTGGGGGGGAAACTCAAGCCGACCCAAGTTGGTTAGCGAACTTCAGTTATTTATCCCTGCATGGTGGGTGGGTGCGCTCACCCATTACACTAACATGCTATTTTATTCCAATTGGTTAGCAAACATTAGTACGCTCCTGTGATTTCTTAGGCACCAAAAAAACATACTGGGAAATGTTTCAACAGGTGCCTCGGCCTGAACCCACCTTCCGCTTGGTTTTTTTTTTTCTTCTTCTTCTTCTTCTTTAGCATTATTTCATACGGGCCGAGCGACCCACACACGCCTGTGCCGCCAACCTTCTTGGCGTTGTGCTGCGGGGGAGCTGTCATGAAGAACGGCAATGGCAGCACATTCCCCTTCCCTGCCTTCCCCTCTCCCTTGGTGTATGGCTACCTGGTGGCCTCGTTCTCTCACCTCTTTTGCATTCAGTAACCGCCCAGGAGACCCACACACGCCCTTGCCGCCAACCTTCTTGGCGTTGTGCTGCGGGGGAGCTGTCATGAAGAACGGCAATGGCAGCACCTTTCCCATCTTCTTGCGATTCTCAAACAGCGTGCGCACGCTCGTCAGGGCTTGGCTGCAAGAGGTTGGGAAGTGATGGAGCGGGATGGAGCGGGAAGGGGGGTGTGTAGAGGGTAAGGTGGGTGGGAGGTCAAGGGGGAGATGGGGGGACACAAGGGCCGTCGCGTAGAGCTCCTCTGTGGGAAACAACTTACCTGCGGAAACAGCTCATCCGTTCGCCTGTGTATTGGCCACTGTGCGCCTGGTACTGGTCCAGGCTCATCTTACCCCAGTTACCATTCGTGCACACCATTCTCGACCCCTTGGAGAGAGCGAGCGAGCGCCAGTGCTTCGAGAAATGGGGAGAGAGAGAAAGAAGAACCGGCAGCTAGAAAGCACATCTGCAGCGTGCAGAGCGCTCACCTGTGCGCCTGGTACTGGTCGAGGCTCATCTTGCCCCAGTTCTCGTTTGTGTAGACCATTCTAGGCCCATTGGAGAGCGCGCGCCAGTGCGTGGTGGTTTCGAGCAGCACTGCATCCCACTCGTCTAGGTAGCGCGCCCACTGCGGGTTGGGCGTCATGACGTCTATCAGACAGTCCTCTGACCTCGGGTCCGTTATGCCCCCGACCTTGGCGAGCATTGTGGCGTCTGGGGGAGGGTGAAGGGGAGGGAGTGGGAGGAGCGGGATAGGGAAGGAGTCTGTAGCGCGCCCACTGCGGGTTGGGCGTCATGACGTCTATCAGACAGCCCTCTGACCTCGGGTCGGTGATTCCTCCCACCTTTGCCAGCATGGTGGCGTCTGGAGAGGGGAACGGGGGAGCGGAGGGAGGGAGCACGACAGATTGAGATGGAGGGGAGCTGGGGAAACGGGAAGAGGAAGCTGCGGCGGGTTTGAGCAGAAGCACTGCGTCCCACTCGTCCAGGTAGCGCGCCCACTGCGGGTTGGTCCTCTGACCGCGGGTCCGTTATGCCCCCGACCTTGGATAGCATGGTGGCGTCTGAGGGAAAGTGTGTGTGAGGCAGAGGAAGCGAAAGAAGGGCAATTGAGAGAAATGGAGTGGTGGTTTTGCACGTCTATCAGACAGTCCTCTGACCGCGGGTCCCTTATGCTTCCGACCTTTGCCAGCATGGTGGCATCTGGGGGGAAGCGTGTGCGGCATAGGAGGAGGGAAAAGGACAGACTGAGAGGATGGAGTGGTGGTTTCGAGCAGCACCGCGTCTCAGTGGGAGTAGAGGGGGGATTGGAAGGAGTGGGAGAAGAATGGAAATTCGACCATGAATCATTTAAGATACGTAGATATATACGTGAATTAACATGTACAAATTCTATGTTGTATCGAAGAGGTGTAGCGAGAAGGTCATACTCTGGTTGATGCGCAGGAGGTAGTCGTCCCAGAACATGACGATCTTGGCGTTGACGTACACCACCTCGAGAAGTACGACACCCAAAAGCATACACCTACACTTTACATCTACTTTATGAATTATATAAGTGTACCTACAGTATCCATTGTATATTACATCGAGAATTAGACCACGTACTCTCGTTTATGCGCACGAGGTAGTCGTCCCAGAGCATGACGATCTTCGCGTTGAGATCAGGGATGGAATACACGTACGCCACCGCCTCGGGCGAATCTTTGGACCACGCGCCGCCATCCAACGTGCGCAGCTCCGGCTTCGGACTCACCCAGTATTGCTGGTTTATCTGTAGCGAAAGTAGGGACATTGGGGTGTAGTTATTACGGTTTTATGCATGTAGGCTGCAAAGGTGTTCTCGAAGCGCAAATGGGAGAGTCTATCCACTCTCCCCCCCTCTCCCACACACACCTGGCAGAGCAACGACGGTACGAAGTTGGCGCTCGTGAGCGAATCGCCAATGGACACACCCCTCCCTTACACACACACAAACACTCCCCCCCCCCCTCCCCCCCTCTCCCCCTCGCGCGCCCCCCACACGCACACCTGACAGAGCAACGACGGTACGAAGTTGGCGCTCGTGAGCGAATCGCCGATGATCGCGATCTGCTTGTTCATTGTGAGACTGATGATACGCACCCACGCGCAACCCCCCCGCCCTCCCCCCCTTCCCTCTCTCCCTTCCACATACGCACCCAAACACTCACAACCCTCCCTCGCCCCATCTCCCCCCCACACACACACCTGGCAGAGCAACGACGGTACGAAGTTGGCGCTCGTGAGCGAATCGCCGATGATCGCGATCTGCTTGCCCTTTATTAGCTGTCCGAAGTGACTGTAACGAGTGTGATAGCGGGAGAAGGGGAGGGTGGAGCATTCGGAATGGGAAGCAGGAGTGGTGAGGATAGGGGAGAACGGAGCATAGGTAATGGGAGAGGGGTTGGTGAGGGGGGGGGTTGGGAGGGTGAAACCAGAACGCAGATAAAGAGGAAGACATGAGAAGAGCGATCAGCTTAATATTCTTAGAGGCGGCCGGCTTCTCGAGGGAATGGGATGAAGGGAAGGGATGGAGAGTGAATGCGACGTGACGACACTCATTGTTCATACGTACGTTCGGTTGAATCGCACTATTCTCTTGCAGCTTGTTGAATACCACGAGTAGCGTACGTACGCGTCATCTGGCCGCCCGTTCGTACTGCAACGGGTCAAGTTGAACTGCAACCGGAAACGGAACAACCAGTGTTTCTGTCAGTTGTCACTAGAAGAAAAACGTGCTTCGGCTGCCCCAAAGGTTGCGCAAATGAACGAACTTGCCATTAACAAGCAGGAAATTAGGAACCAAAAAAAGAGGCTGCTAAGAAAGGAAACCTTACCAGAAAGGGGCACGAGTCTTGATACGGCGGACGGTTGCCGTCAACTACCCACCGGCCTTCGAAAAGATTGCACACTGGGGCTGACGCGGCCGGCAAAATCACCGGACAGAAGGCACTGGCCGTCACGAGGAGCAGAACCGCGAGCCAAAGCGCGTCGCGCGGCGCATTAATAGACAATAGGGTCCGAACCGCATGTGAATACTGTAGCTGATCATGAGGCCGCGTGCGGCGGACGGAGTCGCGAACTAGACCGTTCGACGGCGAGGCGGTTTGCGCCATGGTAAGGAGCAGATGAGGCGGCTGCTTCACTCAGCCGAGGTGGCTGTTTTACGCAGCCGAGGTGGCTGCTGACGTGGCTGCTCTACAAAACTCAAGACTCCACGAATAATTGAGCGCTCAATGTTGGTGCGTCGTGATCGAGACGTCGATCCAATACTGCCTCGTTCTACACCGATTAAAAAGGTCTTGAACACTGTACTAGTGGATGCATTATGTCACCGTACCTAGTTCGAAGAGGCTCTAAATGATTTCAGACTCGATGCTCATGAAAAGGAACTAATTAGTTGAACGTGGTGACGCGTGCTGAAGCAGCTCAATCTACCGACCTAAGGCACCCAGGGAAATGGTATCTGTTGACGAAAGAAAGGCAAGATGCTTTGCTGATGCCGCAAAGCAGATGAGAGATAATAGAATGCTACAGCCCTCGGTCTTAAAACTTATCCGAGAGTTCCAGAATCAGACATAAGCGTTGCAGGGATGACCAAAGTTCAGTGGATGTTGCCGTGGGAAGCGATTGCCTCGTCTACGAGCATATGAAAAGGCTAGAGCAGATAGATGATGCGTAGAAAACCGAAGGCCGTCAACAGTAAACAGATGTTGAAGTAAGCAGGCGGATGCGCCCAGGCTGTCGAGAAACAGAGACACGGTCGGCAACAGATGTAACACCTCGCCACCTACTGGGTCATATCGAGGGTTATATTTGAGGCGCAGTGGAGGCTCTACGTGTAAGCCCCGCAGGCGTTAGAACAGAGGTCTAAGAAGCATGGATGGGATGTGATGAAGGTACGGGATGGGAGGGATGGGAGTGAGGAGTGCTGGGTGTGGAACTGCTGTTCCAGGTTACTGGAGGAAACTGATAGGCGCGAATTTCGTGTTCTATCCTCCCCAGCGTTTTCCTTCTAGACGCACAACGAGAAGAAGCTCCGCGGGACGGATGGAGCTGCTCAGACCGACACCACCAGCCCCAACCCGATTGACCACGGAATTATATTTTCGTTGTCAAGGGGGCGCGGGTTGCCGAGCTCTCTAAAACGAAGACAAACGTACGGTTGTGAACAACGTGATGTATGATAAAAGCATTTTGGACGGTTGGATGACAAGGTAGGGAGGTATTGAAACTGACCGGAGTCAAGGCTGGGTATATATGTTTGGTTGGGGAGCATCTCGGAACGAACCGCGCTGCATTGAAATGTTGCGCCGACTGCGCATTTTAGCCAAAAATGACGACGCGAGATTGGCCTGTCTGTTCACCTGAATCACCTCCGGCCCACCCCACCACACCGCAACGCACCGCTTTCTTCGATTTTACACGGGTCGCCTCGCCACCACGCCCTGAACGCCCGGCTCCCCCACCTGCCCCATTCCCCAAATACACCTAGCCCGCGCCAAATTCACTAGGGCCATTTTCACCCCCCTGTGTAATTATTTCTGATTTACCTGATATTAAAGGGCTGTTTCGAATGCTTTCGTTTTAAAGAGGGTACGTTTCAGACATCTCTGACAAGTTAGAGGGGATGGAAAACGGGTCACAATAACCTATGGTCGAGTCGCCGTGGTAAGAGTACGGTTTTAATATCTCGACACTTGGCTGAGTGGTTTGTAGCCTTCAAATTCTGGGAGTTTACTGGTAAAAGCCAAAATCGGGTTCAGGGTGCTTGCCAAAACGAGTTGCAGGGCGTGAAAATAGCGCGGGCTAGGTGTAACCTCCCCAACCCAACCAGCCACGCGGGGGAGGGGGGGATTTCATCCGCAACGAACAGCCCAAGTGGAGGCGAATGTCTACGCCGGGCGGATGTGTGCTGGGGTCGAACCTCTGAGGTTGGGGGCGGGGAGAATTACAGCGAGGGATGTGGCCGTGCGCCTGGCCCCAGCCAGCATCCCATTGGCGCTCTTCCCAGCACAAACACAGCCACCGACAAATGTCGATCTCGATCCGTCACCGCTAGCGCGGGCCAACGGAGTTACGTTTTCGTGGACGCCGTCAACCAACGACACATGCGAAATGTGTGGTGGAGGTGCGAGAGAACGAAATTACGCGAGATACACTGTGTTGTAACTGGCGAAGGGTTGAGCCCGGCGAATAAAAAAGTCCACGCTATGATGCAAGTTGCTACAACGTTTCATGGCAGCAAGCTGTACTTCACGAATAGATTGGTGATCCTCTCTATTGGAAGACCTCAGACAAAGCCTCAAGCAAACTAAATGCAAAATTGCACCCCAGCTCAAACCTCAAAAATCCAGATTCATTTGTTGTACACAAGTAATAGAGTAAGCAAACCAAGGCACATCTAAGCCAGGTACCAAATAATACATGCATATCCAAACCCTGTTGCAAGCTAGTGCGTTGCAACAAAAACGGTTGCTACACACATTCTCATAACCTCATTTCACAGCTGGCATACCATAAAAATTAAACCAGCAGCACAAAGAGTCGAACCAAAAGTCAACCAGATCACAATCCCAGGGCGTCACTAGGACCCAGCAGCAGCGGCAGGAGCACCAGCACAGCTGCAGCCACCCATCCCCACTCACCCCCTTCCCTGCGGCCGCTACCTTCGGCATTACCTGGGGAAGGTCCGTCAGGTGCAGGCTCTCCTGCTACAAGGTCCGCAGACCCCCTCTTCCTCATTCCCAATTGTTGGAAGGGGATGGGGAGAGCCAGTGTGGTGAGGGCTCTTCGAAACGAGTCGAGAGGAGAGGTGGGGGAAGAGGGAGAAAGGGCAGCGGGAGAGACATCATCTGCTTTCAGGGACTGGGATTGGTCCGACCACCACCCGGCTTCTTCGCCTCCCTTCCCGTCCTTCGCTTTCCCTCCCTTCTTTTTGTGGCCCACCGGGGCACTAACCGGGGCAGCGTAAACGGGCAGCGATTGGAACGGCCAATGGGAGGCTGCCACGGAGGCGAGGGCGGTTTGGCGGGAGGCTTGGAGAGACGAGGCTTGGGACTGGAGGGTGGTAACCATAGCAACCAGCGTAGCTGTGTCTGAGAGCTCGGCTGTATAATCTCCTGCTGTTGCTCCTGCTGCCGCTGTGACTGCTGCGGCTGCTGCTATTGTGACTGCTGCTGCTGCTTGCTGGAAGGAGGAGAAAGCGGTGGTGCTGGGTTGTGTGGGGTGCTGAGTTGCCTTCTGGTGGGAAGAGGACGGGGGCAGAAGAAAGCAGAAAAAAAAAAAAAAAAAAAAAAAAACGGAGGACGAGGAGGATGAGGTCAGGTGAGGCGAGGGTGATGCGAGGTGAAATGAGGTGAACTGAGGTGAATTGAGCTGTGTCTTGAAGGGGAGAGAGAAAGAATGGTGGGTGGACGTGGTTCTGACAAGGGCAAGTAGGGAGAGGGAGAGAAACTGGGAGAGGTACCCTCCAGAGCACCAATGGAGGGAAACGCTGCACGAGAGCCACTGCTCTCTCATTATGAGTCGACTCAAAACAAACAAGAAAGATGGGAAGTATGAAGGACCCACCAGAGCAAGAAAAGAGGGAGAGCCTGCACGCGACCCACTGCTGCTCGCCTTCCCTTGCGCCGCTGTCACTCCCCCTCCCCCTCCCCCTCCTCCCCCGCTGCCCGACCCTCCAAAGAAGTCATCACTGTCATCATCCTTCTTCTCCTTCTCCCCTTTCACGTTTCTAGAGGCAGTGGCACCATTACTAGCAGCAGCTCCGTTACTGGCAGCACCATTAGCAGCAGCAGCAGCCGAATCCGAAGCAGTGAGGTCAGGAGCCTCGAGCACCCCGAGCCATGCTCCGTTTCGCTCAAATCCATTGACTCTGGGCGAGCCCGGGCCCTTCTTGATGCTGCTGGCTACTCGAGACGTCTCGTGGATCCTGCAAGAACCACCACCACCACAACCATCATCACCATCAATCATCACAACCAACCATCATACCCATCATAACCACCACCACCACCCCCACACCATCACAACACATGAACCACCATATATTAGTGATCAATAAACAGAACAGAACAAAGCATAACTAGCAAGCAAAAAAACAACATTACTGGCTCCCATCACATATTTTTTATTTCAGCTCCATTGTCAGCAGCTGAAGCCTCTCCACAGTATCCATGGACTTCCCAGACTCACTCAACACCAAACACACACATCCCTCAGACCAGCACACCCTTCCCTCAACCCCCTGCTCCTCCCACATATACATACTTCTCATTCAGCTCCGGTGTAAGCTGCTGAAGCCTCTTCACAGCATCCATGGACTTGCCATACCCGTTGCTCGCCTACACATCTCTCCCTGCCCCACTTGGTGACAACTCACCCTCATACCACAATACAGGCCTTTCAATCCCTTGCCATACGTACCTTTCTTTCAACTCCAGGGTAAGTTGCTGAAGCCTCTCCACAGTATCTGTCGACTTCCCAGACTCAACACGAGCCTCCTCACACACCAACCACATACCACAGCACACTCTCTTCACCCTTCACATGTACATACCTTTCTTTCAGCTCCAGAGTAAGTTGCTGAAGCCTCTCCACAGTATCTGTCGACTTCCCAGACTCCTTGCTCGCCCTTGCCAACTCTCCCTGCAGCAGCCCCACCTGATGCGACAGCCCCTCCACCTTCTTAAAAGTCTCTTTTAGCGCGCTCTTACTCGCGCCCTCCCTCTCCCTCAGCTCCACAGCCTGCCGCAGGAAGAACCCCACCCGGTCCTGCGACGACTGGAGTTTTACCCGGGCTGCCCGCTCCTTGCTTTCCAGCTGCCCGACCTGCGCCTCAAGCTCCCGCACCCGGGCCTTCTCCGCCTCCGCTTCTGCCCGAGCTGCCCGTTCACGTTTCTCCAGTGCCCGAATCTCCACCTCTAAAGCCGCCACCTTGTGTTTTGAGCCCGACCCTTCCCCCTTCCCTCCTCCTGAACCCCCCTGGGACCGAGTCACAGCATCAGCAGCGGCAGTCCCTTTCAGCCGAGCCACCTGTCGCATGAGGAAAGCGCTCCGCTCGCTCGCAGCAGCAGCGGCGTTGCGGGCCCCCGCAAGCTCGCTAGACATGGCAGCCACTTGGGATTGCAGCCGCCCTATCAGCTGGTCTGCTGCACTGCTCGCTGCTGCACCAGAAGCACTGCTGACACCAGCTGCAACAGCAGCAGCAACAGCGGTACCGGCTCCAGCTGCTGTAGCTGAGGAAGCCTGCTGAGACGTCTCCATGAGAGTATACTCTCTGTCTTTTGACTTGGCAGTAGCCAGAGCAGCAGCGAGTGTTGCCTCTGCCTCCTCAGCCTCCCTCTTCGCTTTCCTCTCCCTCTCCTCCGCCACCCCCACCTGCTCTTCCAGCTCCTTGATCCTCTTCTCCGCCGCCCCAATCACCGCCCGGCTCTCCTCCACCACCCGCTCCCTCTCCGCCACCTCAGCAGCCACCGCCGCCAGCCTGGCGTCCCGCTCCGCCATGTCATCTCGCGCCGCCGCCAGCTCAGCGCCCAACCTCTCCAGCTGCGCCTGCAGCATCCTCTCCCTCTCCTCCGCCGCGCTCAACTCCTCCCGCGCAACCATCAGCCTGTGCTCGTCACTCTCATGCAAAAACACCTTCGCTGCATCTACCGCCTCTCGTTTCACCTCCATTTTCAGCCCTTCTACCTGCTGCACCTGCCGCGTCAGCAGCTCGATCCTCTCACTAGCCACCGCCCACGCCTCTCGCATCAACTCATCCTTCCTCCGGAGATTCTCCGCTTCGGTCACAGCAGCCTCAAGCCGATCAGTCGCAGCGTGCATGGCTTCTTTCGCTGCCCGCTCCCTATCCCGGAGCCCTCTCATCACCCGGAAGAAAAATTTCACCCGCTCGTTCGCTGCCCCTAGCGCCTCCTGCGCTTTCCTCGCTTCTTTTTCTGCCCGTTCTGCCCGGTCCTCCAGCTTCACCATCCGGTCGTGGTCCGCCGCCGCCTTCTCGGAAGCTTCCTCCAGCCTCGTCTCCATCTCGCCCATCCGGGCGGCGGCCGCGCGCTCCTTCTCGGAAAGTTCCTTCACCTGTTCGGCCAGGGCCTGCATTCGCTCCAAAGCCACCGCCGCTGCTTCCTTAGCCGCTGCTTCCATTTCTTCCATCTGAGCGATTCTGTTGGCTAATTCCGCTGCCCGCTCTTCCGCTGCCTGTGCTTTCGCCTCGGCTGCTTCGTGGGCTGATAAAAGCTCCCTCTCCCGCTCCTGAAGGAGGGAAAGCTCCTGGGAAACTTCCGAGAGCTGGGAGTGGAGGGCAGATTCTCGCTCCGCTGCTGCTGCTGCGGCTGCTTCGGCCTCTGCTGTTGCCGCTGCCACCGCTGCCGCCGTTGCTTCTGCCGACGCTGCCGCGGCAGCAGCAGCCGCTGCGGAATCAACTCCTAGGAACGCAGAGGCCTGCTGCTCTTTCTGCTCCTGCTGCTCCTTCTCCCGCTGCTGCATTTCCTCCTGCTGCTGCTGCAGCTGTTGTTGCTGCTGAAAGAGGTTGAGGGCTTCGACCTGAGCGGTGAGCAGGGCAATGCGCTCGTGTGCTGCTGCTGCCTCCATGCGCGCTGCTGTCTCGCTCTCCCTCAACTCACACACGTGCTGCATGAAGAAACGCACCTGCATGGAGGGAGGGCGGAGTGAAGAAGGGAAGAGGGCATGGTGATGAAACCAAATAAGGGAAGGGCAAACAGATACTGCTGCTGCTTTCTCGCTCTCCCTCAACTCACTCACGTGCTGCATGAAGAAACGCACCTGCATGGAGGGAGGGAGGGAGGAGGTGGGGGGGAGCGGGGGAGGAGGGGGAGGAGTGAGGAACGAGAGAGGTGAGATAAAGGGGTGGGGCAGTTGTTGCAATGTAGAGATTTGTATGAAAATGTGTGTGTTTATTCATACGAACATGCAAAGACACATGCATTATGCATGCGCACACATACGATACGCGCCTCTCAGTCCCTACACTACCTGCTCTGTGGCGGATCTAGCAGCAGCCATGGCCGCCAGGTGCTTCTGCTCCAGCAGGGCAATCCGCTCCTCCACCCCAGATGCCACCTCCCCCAGCCCAACCTCCCCCCGCCCAACCTCCCCCCCATCAACCTCTTCTAAGACACAGATTCTCTCTCCGTACCTGCTCTGTTGCAGACCGAGCAGCAGCCATGGCCGCCAGGTGCTTCTGCTCCAGCAGTGCAATGCGCTCCTCCACCCCAGATGACACCTCCCCCAGCCCACCCTCCCCGTCCAGAACACCCTCCCCCAGTACACCCTCCCCTGAGAAGCCAGTTCCTTCAGAGGCAGGAGAGGCGTCGGCTGGGGGTGGGGCTGAGGTGGGCCATGCGTGGGCATGGTGGTCGTTGACAAAGGAGTAGACCGAGTCGAGTATGTGCGGCTGCTGCTGTGAAGGGAGAAAGGGGTGAAGAGGGGACCAGCAGGAATGAGGGGATTTAAGGGAGGCGGGGCAGCGAGGGGCCATGCGTGGGCGTGGTGGTCTTTGACAAAGGAGTAGACCGAGTCGAGTATGTGCGGCTGCTGCTGTGCGAACAGGGGGGGGGGGGAGGGGTGGGGGGGAAGGGGTGTAACAGCAACCGGAGTGAGAGGATGCAGTGAGGAGCCAGGCGTGGGCATGCTGATCGTTGACAAAGGAGTAGACCGAGTCGAGTATGTGCAGCTGCTGCTGTGAGGGGGGGGGCTGGGAGGGGGAAAGGGTGAGTAAAACAGGGGCGTGATGGGGTATGAGAGTGAATGGGATGAGAGGGATGGGAGCAGCGAGGGGGCATGGGAGGGAGCAGGGATAGGATGCTTTTGAGAATTCTCAAAAGTGATTCCCAAATGGCATGGGAGGGAGCAGGGATGTGAGGCTGCCGTACATATCTGGAGTCAGTGGCGAGCAGAGACAAAGGTAACTGGACGGGCGCATCTAGGGGAGGCTCTATCTGAGGTTCATAGCAGCAAGCCGGCAGGTAGTACCTGGAAGGGCGCATCCAGGGGAGGCGCTATCTGCGCGTCGACCACGGGAGGGAAGCTCTGCTGCACCTCCCTAGGCTTGGGAGATGACGCCTGGCGAGATGCCGCCTGGATGGACGGGTGTACAGATGGATGGCCGCACAGGGAGAGGGGTGAGGGGGACAGAGAGGACCATTCGTTAGCTTGGGAGATGACACCTGGCGAGATGCCGCCTGGAAGGGCAAACAGGGGAGGGGGCAGTGGGGAGGGGGAAGCGAGAAAAAAACGAAGGAGGATCGGAACAGAGGAGCGTTTGGTGAGGTGAGAGACGAAAGATGGGCATTCGTTGGCTTGGGTGAAACGCCTGGCGAGATGCAGCTCAGAGGGAGGATGTTTCGTGTTTTGAGTCGACTTTGCGACGAGCCGCCTCTGCGCCTTGCCTTGCCTGCCTGCCTGCCCCATTCCTCTCTGCCTGCCCCATTCCTCTCTGCCTGCCCCATTCCTCTCTGCCTGCCCCACCGAGGCATTTGCTCACCTTGGAGAGCGATTGCGAGATGGTCACATCTGCCGAAACCCTGTGCTGCAGCGACTCAGAGATGAGTCGCCTCTGCGCCTCCTCCCAGTCGTCCCTCGCCATCTCAGTGTTTCCTTTCAGACGCCACAGCAAACACCCAACGCCTCTGTGCCTCGTCCGTGTGCCCAGTCTGTGACTTTGTGTCTGCAAAATCTGCTCACCTTGGAGAGGGATTGTGAGATGGTCACATCAGCGGACACCCTGTGCTGCAGCGTCTCAGTGATGAGCCGCCTCTGCGCCTCCTCCCAGTCGTCCCGCGCCGTCTGCCCCCCGCCCTCCGCGCCCGCGCCCTGCTCTATGCGGCGCTGGTACTGCTCCTCTGCTAGCTCTGTCATGCGGTGCGCGCCCACCCCGTCCGCTGCTGATAGCACCAACCGGGCCTGGGAGAGGCAGGGGAGGGGGAATGGGGAGGGGAGGAGGGGGGAGAGGGGATGGGGGAGCGGGGAAGGGAGGGAAGAGGGGCAGGATGGGGTAAGAGGACGAAGCATAGTGTGTCGCCCGCGCCCTGCTCTATGCGGTGCATAGAGCAGCTCTGTCATCCTGTGAGCGCCCACCCCGGCAGCTGCTGACACCACCAGACGCGCCCGGGTGAGACGAGGGGAATGGAAGAGGGGGGAGGAGGGTGCGGAGGCAGCGGCAGAGGATGAGTAGGAAGCATGGGGCCCGCGCCCTGCTCTATGCGCCGCTGCTGGTACTGCTCCTCTGCTAGCTCAGTCATCCTGTGCTCGCCCACCCCGTCCGCTGCTGAGAGAACGAGACGCGCCTGGGTGAGATGAGGGGAATAGAAGAGGGGTGGGGAGGCAGGGGCAGAGGATGAGTAGGAAGCATGGGGCCCGCGCATGTGGTCTGCTCTATGCGGCGCTGCTACTGCTCCTCTGATAGCTCCGTCATCCTGTGTCCCCCTCCCCCGTCCGCTGCTGAGCGCCCAATTGGTCAGCCATAAAGGCCCAATCTGCTATCCCTCACTCTCAATAACTCACTCCGCACTAGCAAGGGCACTGGCACTGCCACGAGAGCGAGCTGGAGCATGATGTTTGAGGCGCCTCAAGCGCGGCCAGCCAGCCAGCGCAAAGAATTTCTGGGTCTGCTATCCCTCATAGCACACTCAATAGCCTCATTCCTCCTCACGGTCTCACCTGCTCCCACGCCTCATGCGACGGGTCCGGTCCGGGGACGGAACACTGTCAACGATCATGGCCTTGTCCCGTCCGTTACCCTCCCATCAAAAGCACAAGCACTAGCACTACCACCAGCGTCCATTGCCCCTCACCTGCTCCCACGCCTCGTGCGACGGGTCGGCTGACGGCACGCTGTCAACGATCATGGCCTTGGTCCGTTACCCGTCCACTCCATTACCCTCCCATCAGCCCAGCAGTAGCACTAGCCCGTTTCTCCTCACCTGCTCCCACGCCTCATGCGACGGGTCGGCAGATGGCACGCTGTCAACAATCATAGCCTTGGCTTCGCTCATTACCCTCTCAGCACAGTACAAGCAGTAGCAACGGCACTAGCTCCCTTGTCCCCTCACCTGCTCCCACGCCTCGTGTGACGGGTCAGCAGACGGCACGCTGTCGACGATCATGGCCTTGGCCTCGCTCCATGCCAGACCCTGGAAGAACGTCAGGTAGCTGCGCGGGGGGGAGAGGGAGACGGGCGGGGAGAAAGGAGCGTGAGAGGTACACCAAGACAGTCCCGACTGACTCTATGCGACGCTGTCAACGATCATGGCCTTGGCTTCGCTCCATGCTAGCCCCTGGAAGAACGTCAGGTAGCTGCGCGGGGGAAAGATAAAGAGAGGGGGGGGGGGGGGGGGGGGGGGGGGGGGGGGGGGGGAGGGGAGGGTGGGGGGGAAGGAGAGAGGTGGGGAAAAAGAGGAGGAATTTGAGCACTACATCATCAATACAGACCTTAGCCAGTTTAAAATCGGCGCAGCACCGCACTCAACCGAGCAGGACCAGCGGGCTGCCATGTGCTTCACTGTCGCTCATGCCTCCTGTCGGAGCATTGGAACCACATTCCACCCAGCAATACCGCACACAACCTAACCTAACCACTGAACCGTACAGAGCCGCGTTTCTCACCCTAGCACGACCAGCGGGCTGCAGTTCTTCCCTGTGGCGCATGCCACGTGGACCCTGTGACCTGTCACCAGCAGCGATGCCAGGAGACGCACCGCCTCCACCATCCCAGCAACCTGCAATGACGAGAGAGGAAGAAGATAATTTGAATTAAGGAATCGTTCTGAGCCGTACGAAATCAAGCAATACGTTTTGCCACTGCAGCTCTATTCTAAATGAAGAGTATGTATCGCGTCAATTCCTAAAATAGGTTACAACTTCTGGGAAGAAACGTAAACTACTTTCTTTTTCTTTTGCGTTGCGCACTTACCTGTTTCTGCTGGTCGAACTCGGGCACGGGAACGCGGAACATGGCGACGTCGCACTGCTCCGCCTGCTCCTGAACCGCCTTCCAGTTCACTCCGAACGACTCCAAGGACTCCTCGCCCTGGCAAGCATGGGGAAGAAAAGGACGAATGATGCGTCGAGTCAAGAGGAACGCGGAACATAGCTTCATGTTGGGAAAGCGGCATTGGCGACATCTTTTAATAAACGCCGAAAGACTCTTGCGTTATTATGCGTTTTAAGTCGTCGTGTTAGGGCGTCTTAGCACGAATCGTTTTGCCAGCTCCTGAGCGGCCTCCAATTTCACGCCGAAAAAATCCACTGAGTTCAAGAGGCATCAATCGCTGCTGGTTTTTCCTGTCGAGCACGCAAAAAGCAGCAGCGTGGGTCAAAGAACAGTCGTTTCATGTGTTTCCGATCTGCTGCCGCTGCGCGCATTGCTCGAACCAACCTTCCTTGAGTATCCGATTGGTTGAAAAAGCCAATCCCAAGGACGAAAACGGAAGGAAACAAAGGTCGAGAATGCGGTGGAATGAGAGTGGAATGTGCATGCCAAACAAAATGCAAAAAGCATTAAGAAAACGCGTTCAAGTGAACCATCGGGACGCTGTTGTCGAGTACGCTCGGGAAACCAGGGTTTGTTCCTTGACAACCTTAAAAATTCCTCTTAGCAACCATGCGTCTGTAGCGCAAGTCTGTAACCATACAGATTTATAAGCACAGCGCATAAATATCCAGTGTCCCGCAAACCTACCCCCACTACAGTCACACACCTGCAAGCACAGAATGGCGGTGCAAGTTGTCGCCTGCGTCAGCATCGTCACGTCCTCGGGCCCGGCAATCCCGGAGCCCACCGACACGCCAGTTGCCAGCGTGATGTGCGTCCACGTCAGCGGCCAGTCAGCCTGCATGCACACCACATCCTCGTCGATAGGACCTGCGGGAACAGGGGGGCAGGGGAGGAGAGGGGAGAGAGGAGAAGGGACGGGGAGGTGGGGGGGGGGGGGGGGGGGGGGGGGAGGAGGGAAGGGGGGGTGGGGGTTGGGGGAGGGAGAACCGTGCGGGGCGGAGAGAACACGAGGGGAAAGTGAGGGTGAGGCGGAACGGAGGCTTCGCTTACATGTTTTACGAAAAAACGGAAACAGGGAGACGAAGAAGGGAATGCGAGATATTTGGGCTTGCGGCGAGCAGAGAAGCTGGACCGCGGGTTAGGGCAAAAAAGAAGAGGGGGAACGGGTGCGCGGGGAGGAGGGGGGAGGGGAAGGGGAAGATAAATAACAAACAATTTTTAATGCAGTATCGGTGAGCGTGAGAGGGATGGGGGTACGGGTTGAAAGAAAAAAAAAGGGCGGAAGGAGGGAGTGGGAGAGGGGAGAAGGGGGCGAGCGGGTGGGACGGGGAAGGGGGACGAAGGGGTAATCACTTATGTATCATGTCTCTCCTTTCGCGCACCCCATTCACATTCACAGACCTCCATTCCCCCAGCATTATCCCCTCCCCCACTCTTCCTTTTCCGTTCATACTTGCACCCTTCCTCCCCTGAATTGGAAACTTCGCCTGGTCTGGCGTACCTTCCGACTTATAAATATCGCGAATCGGCGTGCTAGCTTTCAGCACGCGCGGCTTCATGCCCCCCGCAGTCGCGCGCATGATCCCCCCCGCATCCCCTCCTGCAACCTCATCTTCCGCATGCGCGCAGGAGTGAATGTGCTGCAGCATTCGCACTTGGTCCACCATCACACTGTTCTCCGCAGAAAATGTGAACTCGTGAGGATTCGAACCCTCGTCTCCAGAACCCGAAGAATCGCCACTCGATCCAACGTAATCCCAACCATCCGATTTTTTCTTCCGCCTGCTGCTCCACCGTTAAATTCTCGTTGCGCGCCGAGCCCCTCTGGCCGCGCCTCCACCGGAGCCCGTCCGGTCCGCGTGAATTCTCCCCTTCCCCTTCGCTAAGCTCGCCGGGAGAAGGACACTCAGGAACCAACACGTGGCACTTAAGGCCGTCTCCGCGACCGCGCCTTCCGGACCGCGAAGGCACGAGCGCACTAGGAACGTGTCGCCTGTGTGGCCGCGTGAACGGAGCGCGCATGTAAACGATCCGCGAGCGCGGGCAGAGAAAACCGGCGCCGCGTCGTTGGCTGTGGTGGTGGTGTGGCTTCGGCACGGCGGACGACACGTAAGCAGAAGCCGCGAGGGAGGAGTTGGCGGTGGAAATGGCGGTCGCGTGTGTACGCGCTTGCACCTTCCATGCTGGAGTTACGCTGGCCTCCATTGGCACGAATAGGTTCTAGTCACAAATGTTCTCTCTTAAATTTTTAATGTGGAGCCTTAGGTCGCGCCTAGAGTTGTTGGGTAGATGGGTTCGAGACTACGGCCTTTTAACGGAGCGACACTTGTGCCTCAGGAACGGAAAGAAACGTAGCCGAGTTGCCAGTGCTCAAATGGCCTCTTATCACCTTTCCCGCCAACCCTTACACGCCAAGTTCAATGTGAGGGAATAAATGACCACGCGCTTAGACAAACACACAACTCACGGCACGGCTCTCTCAGGCCCACAGCAAAGTTGGTGGTGAAGATTCAACCAAATCTTGTTGTCCAACATCGTCAGTGAGCACCAGCAGCAGCAACAAGAGCAGCCAGCCACACGAAACCCTAGTCTCTCTCAGGCAGGCTGGGTCGAGCAAGCAATTCTAGAAAACCCAGCCCCCAGAGAGTCACAAATTCATTGACCGACACGCGGTTTACAGTGGTTCCAAACGTTACATCACGGTTTGAAAGGGCTGCTTGTAGGGTGCCTCTGCTTGAACAATATTTTGCTTGCGCGCGGTTCGAATAAAGCCCACATTGCTGGCCACTTTCATTCCCCTATCCGTGGAGATTCAACGTGGCTGAAGTGGCGATCTCGTCACCACAAGTAAAGATGCACGACTTGTCCAAGTGCAGGACCAGGAACCTGCCCAACGGACACCCGCCCGGAGTCAAATTTGCTTCCAACCACTGTTTTCAAGGCCACCAGTTGTTGCTGACGAGGATTGAGCAGGAAAACGATGTCACGCGACGCGAGAGCGGATAGCTTCGCACGTGCTTCAAAGGCCGAAGCGTTTCGGATCAGGATTTGCCGCGCCACCTCACATTTGCTGTCCTCTGTTGGAGTTGCGAACTAAACAGCACAGCAAAGAAATGTAGTGTAACAAGAATTGATTCAGCGAATTGTGATGAATATGCTGCTTGTTTGTGACTTCTCAGCAGGAATGAAATAAAACACATCAGCACTTTCTCAAGGCAGGCATCCCATAGCCAATACTAATAACGACTCCAAATCTCATCATATAAGATTTCCAAGCGAACTTCTTGTGCCAATTTAGCCTTCCCGCCCAGAAAAGCGCCTCCAAACTCACATAAATTGCAGGCCTGAGCAGCTTCACTTCATCATCTTCCTCAAGGCAAACTTCTGCTGCCGCTTCAACTCCAGCCGCAGCTCACTCTTCTTGCGGTTCCACTTCGCCTCCTCCACCTCCGACCTGAGGAAGCTTCCTCCCATGTCCATCAGAAGCTTCTCCATATTACCCGCCCCTCTCGCTTCTTCCAATGCCAACAGGTCAGGTAGACCTCCCCCAGATGAACCTCCCTCCCTCTCTCCTCCACTCCCCTCCAATCCTCCTCCCCTTCCACCCATTCCCCTCCCCTTTCCAAACCTACCTCCTCTCCCCCCTCTCCATCCTCTTCCCCCACCCTCCCCTCTCCCCGCAATCCCACCACCACCAGCAGCACCAACCCCAGCACCAGCACCACTCAAGCCAACTGTTACAGGCGCTACCAGCTCTGCCCCAAACAACGACAACCCTTCCTTCCTCCCACCCCTCCCGCCTCCGTCTCCCGTTTCCCTCCCTCCTCCTGTCCTGCCCCACCTCGCGTCACCTCCTCTTTCCCTTCCTCCCCACCTCCTCCCTCCTTCGTCCCATCTCCCCCTTCCTGTGCCTCACCGCTTTTCACTTCTCCCAGAATAGGTTTCAGTGAGAAGGAGAGTTTACCATCAGCACTGGTGAGCGATTTCCACGTGAATTTCTGCACCCACGCACTGCCCACCTGCTCCTGCCTCTCCGCCAAGCCCCCACTCGGCGCTGCTTCTGTTGCCGCATCACCAGCAGCCTCACCACCAGCACTAGCAGCAGCGCCAGCACCAGCGGCACTACTAGCAGCAGCACCATTGCCACCACCACCACCAACAGCAGCACCAGCACTGCCATCACCACCCCTAGATGGCTTCAAAATGAGCTCTTCTCTCTTCTGTCGCTTTCCTCCTTCTCGACCAGCACTAGTGGCGCCACCATCATCACCAGCACTAGACCCCTCCAGGAACCCTTTCCTCTTCCCTCTCCCACCACTGCTACCACCATCTTTTACAGAGCCTTTCCTTCCATCTTCCTTCTCCTTGCCCTCCCCAGCACCAAGACTCTCCCCAGCAGCCAAAGCAAACAGGCTGTCCCACGAAGGCACTTCTGTCCCCTTCCTTCTGTGCTTATCACTCTCATTCTCCTCCTCCTCCTCCTCCTCCTCCTCCTCCTCCTCCTCCTCCTCCTCCTCCTCCTCCTCCTCCTCCTCCTCCTCCTCCTCCTCCTCCTCCTCCTCCTCCTCCTCCTCTCTCCCACATCCTCCTCCCCCTCCTCCCTTTCCTCCTCCTCCCACTCCTCCCCCTCCTCCCCTTCTTCCTCCTCCCCCTCCTCCCCTTCTCCTCCTCCCTCACTCCCTTGTCATCCTCCCATGCTGCCTCCTCTTCCTCCCCTTCTTCCTCATTGTCCCGTGCATCCTCCTCATCATCCTCACTCTCCCCACCCTCCTCCTCCTCCCCTTCCTCTACTCCCTCATCCTCACTCCCTTCTCCACCCTCTTCTATCTCCCCTTCCTCTTCTACCTCACCCTCCTCCTCTCCATCACCCTCCTCCTCTCCCTGACCTTCCTCCTGTCCCTCACCCCCCTCCCCCTCCATTTCCGTCTCCTCCTCCTCTCGCTCCTCTCCCACTTTCAGTACCTCCTTGGCTTCCCTCCTCTCCACTTCCCTTCCTTCCTCTTCACTCTCCTCACCCTCCTCACTCGTACCTTCCAACTCATCCTCTTCCACTTTATCTTCTTCCATTCTCTCATATGCTCCCTTTGAAATTGAGCTTCCCCAATCCTTGTGCTCTCGCTCCTTCCCCTCTTCCCCCTCTCCCTCCTCTAAGCCCCCTTCCTCCTCCTCCTCCTCCTCCTCCTCCTCCTCCTCCTCCTCCTCCTCCTCCTCCTCCTCCTCCTCCTCCTCCTCCTCCTCCTCCTCCTCCTCCTCCTCCTCCTCCTCCTCCTCCTCCTCCTCCTCCTCTTCCACCTCACACGAAGCAACAGCAAACAACCTATCCCACCGAGAACCCCCTCCCTCTGCCTCCCCCAATTGTTCTTTCCTCTCACTCCCCACCACCGTCTTTGTCGGTACTTTCTCTTCCACAACCTCCTCTTTTACACCTTTCAACCCTACCACTCTCATCCCTGCAAATTCCTCCCCTCGCCTTCCCTCTGCTGCCCTCACCACGGGAGTCACTCCACCTTCTCCTCTCCCTTGATTTCCCTCACGTGATGCTTTCAAGAGTGCCTTTCCCTGCTCCCCGCCTGCGCCATCTGTGCTCTCAGTTGATACACCACTCACACCACCAACACCACCTGCCCCTTCTGAGGCTGCCACTGCACTAGACCCGGTTTCCTTCAACCCCTTGATACTCATTTTCTCACTGCTTTTGCCGCCTTTGCTGTCTTTCCTCCCTGTTTTTTTCCGCTGAGGCCACTCCATGTCAGATTAATGTTCAACCCATCGTCCTCCTCCTCTTCCTCCTCATCCTCATCCTCTTCCCCCTCTTCCGCCTCCTCCCCACCATGCCCCTCGCTCATCACCACATCACCGTCTCCCCCTCCCACCTCACTCCCCTTCCGCCCACCACTCCCGCTCCCATCCCTCCCCTCCACACCATTCTCCCCCCTATCCCCCCTACTCCCCCCATCGCCCACCCCTCCCCCCTCCACCTTCCCCCCCTCCGCCTCCGCCTCTTCCCCGTCCAGCATCAGAAACCGTTGCAGCAGTCGCCTCTGCATCTCTCTTTCCCTCTCCAACTCCCCATCCTCCTCCTCCCCCTCCCTCCCCTTCTCCTGCTGCTCCTCCTGCTCCCCAAAACCAGCGTACCCACCAACACCCTCCAATCCTCCACCCTTTCCAGTCGTCACACCCATGCGACTTCCTTCACCTCCCTCTAGCGCTCCTCCCCTCACAGCAGCAGCAGAAGCACCAGCAGACGGAGAAGCAGCACCAGTACCAACACCACCGCCAGCACCACCACCACGACCACCACCACGGCCACCACCATCCCCATCATCAGCATCAGAAGCAGCGGCGGCGACGGCGGTGACAGCAGCAGCGCGGGTAAGCACGGCAGAGAGGGAGGGCTCGACTGGCAGGCGTTGGAAGCTCAGCTTGTGCCTCCCACACCCCGGCCCACCCGCTGCTGGCATGCGGCGCGTCTGTCGTGGGGGGGAGTACGGTTGAGAGTGGTTGAGAGGGGTAGACAAAAAGAGGAAGAGAGTTCCAATTAGTACCACGGCAGCAGCAGCAGCAGCAGCAGCACCACCACCACCACCACCACCACCATCCCCATTCCCATCATCAGCAGCAGCGGCGCAGGCAAGCACGGCAGGGCGGAGAGGGATGGGTCGACTGGCAGCCGCTGGAAGCTCAGCTTGTGCCTCCCACACCCCGGCCCTCCCGCTGCTGGCATGCACCGCGTCTTATGGGGGGAGAGAGAAACAGGATGAGAGGGGTTGAGAGGGGTTAGAACAGAGAGGAAGAGAGTTCTATTTAGCACCAGCAGCAGCGCCACCGCCACCATACCCAGCGGCAGTAGCAGCGGCGCGGGCAAGCAGGGCAGAGGGGTTGAGAGGGGTTAAAACGGAGGGATGAGCGGTGGACAAGGAGACAGTGGCAAGTCTATCAAGCTGGGACAGAAAGCAGCTGGAAGGAAGCTCAGCTTGTGCCTCCCACACCCTGGCCCGCCCGCTGCTGGCATGTGCCACGTCTGGCGAGGGTTTAGAGACAGAGGAGTTCTGAGATCTCAACAGGGCTTTTTGGGCGGCCTCAGAAGGGTGTGATGAGTCTATTTTTAAGTCTACTCGAAAATAGACGCATGCGCCGTGTCTGGCGGGGGTTTTTATTTCAGGCAGAGGAGTTCTGATAGTGTCAGCAGGGCTTTGTGTAAAAAGTGCATTTTTGAGACGTCTCAAAAATTCTCTTTTTAAACGCATTTGGCGGGGGTTTTCAGGCAGAGGAGTTCTGATCTGATAGTCTCAGCAGGGCTTTTGGAGCGCCTCAAAAGGGCTCAACCGCCCAAGGGGCGAGTGAGGGACTGAGGGAGTGAGAGTGAGCGAGTTGGAGAGTGAGCGAGTGAGCGAGTTGGAGAGTGAGGGACAAGGCAGGCAGGCAGGCAGACACATACCTTTTTCCCTCCGCGCCACACCAGGCTCATCGGCTCTAGCTTCCGCGACTTCGGTGCAGCTACCTCCTCCGGGCTTAAACACCCAAGTAGCAAGTGAGGAGCGAGTGAGGGGCAAGGCAGACAAAGGAACAAACACATACCTTTTTTCCGCCGCGCCACGCCAGGTTCATGGGCTCTAGCTTCTGCATCTTGAGTGCAGCTACCACCTCTGGGCTCAAACACCCAAGGGGCGAGTGAGTGGGTGAGGCGCGAGTGATAGGGGTCTAGGGGTGAGAAACAGACACACACCTTTTTCCCTCCGCGCCACGCCAGGTTCATGGGCTCTAGCTTCTGCATCTTGAGTGCAGCTACCACCTCTGGGCTCAAACACCCAAGGGGCGAGTGAGTGGGTGAGGCGCGAGTGATAGGGGTCTAGGGGTGAGAAACAGACACACACCTTTTTCCCTCCGCGCCACGCCAGGTTCATGGGCTCTAGCTTCTGCATCTTGAGTGCAGCTACCACCTCTGGGCTCAAACACCCAAGGGGCGAGTGAGTGGGTGAGGCGCGAGTGATACGGGTCTAGGGGTGAGAAACAGACACACACCTTTTTCCCTCCGCGCCACGCCAGGTTCATGGGCTCCAGCTTCCGTGACTTCAGTGCGCTACCTCCTCCAGGGTTAAAAACCGACGGGGCGAGTGAGGGAGTCTGCGAGTGAGGGGGTGAGGGGCGAGTGAGGGAGCAGAAGATTGAGGGAGACGGGCTGGCAGGCACATACCTTCTTCCCCCCGCGCCATGCCAGGTTCATTGGCTCTAGCTTCCGCGCCTTTAGTGCAGCTACCTCCTCCGGGCTTAAACACACACTGGCAGAGCCCTTTGTAACCTGGTTACCACCTGCTCTCTCCTCAACCTCCTGTCTTTCCTTCTCCTTGCGCTCTTTATTGTTCTGCTCGAGGAAACTCTCCTTTGCCTGTTCCACGCGCATCCGCCCCCCCTTCCACTTGCACCCGTTGTACTGGGGGGGTTTTGGAGGGGGGGCAGGAGGGTTTTGGGGGGAAAAGGAAATAGGAGGGGGTTTATGAGGTATTTACGTGCATTCCTTCCTTCCATATGCAGACAATGTATGGTTCGGGAGTGGCGGAAAGCGGGGGAGGGGGTGGGGGGAAGAGAGGGGGAGCGGGGAAGAGAGTGGGGGTTGGGGGAGATAGAAAGGTGGACAGCAACGCGCGGATGAAGGGGCTAGATGGGGGACTATATGAGTTGACGGATGGTTTATAACGCGTACGAATGAATAACAAAAAGTTTAATGCCGAAGGACCCACCAGCGACAAGCATTGATGCAAGGCCTTGGCGGACTTGGGAACCATGTCCACGTAAGCAAAGCCACGACACACTGCCACGTGGCTGCTCTGCCGGTCGGGTCCATCTCCGCTCGCTTCTTGAAATGGACGGCCGGGATTTGTTTGCTGTGAGGGAGGCACCGCGGCGGATGCGGGGAGCAACTGGTGTGACTTGGCGAGAATCACGTTGACTTGGTTGACCTGCCCGAACGGCTGGAATCTTCCTCGAACTTCATCTTCTGAAACATTTCCGGGCAGCCCGCCGACAAATAATCTCACGCGGACAGGCAATACGTCGCGTTCAGGCGGAACTGTGTCCACACGAGTTGGTGATTCTTTTTGAAGTGCTTCATGTCCAAGAGAAGTTGCGTCGCGATTAGTATGTGACGTAGTTTCGCGTGACGGAGGGGTGGATAGTGGCATCGCGGGAACTATACGATTTGACAAAAACTTTTGGGACGACACAAGAAACAAAGACGCTGCCTAAATTAGTGCGATTCGAAATTGGAGTTGCCTAGGGGATTTCGATAAAACCTCTGGCTGGGTTTGGCTGGAAGGTTCAGCGTATCCTCGATACCCGTAGTATCGATATCAGGTACAGTCCACTGTAATACCTATATATCTGCGTCATAAGCCAACCTCTAGTCGCTTCCTTCTCTTCAGTTCGACAGGCGACAGTAACCTGACTCAATCATTTTCGCCGAAACTCGCCGCACACGGAAACCAGAGTCGTCACCGGCAATGCCCGTGCGTGATCCCGCAATCCCAAGGCTCGCCCGAAATCCCAAGGCCCACCATGCAATTCCCAAGACCCCACCTCCCACCAGCTCTGCTCAAACCTGAACTGGTTTCCTTCCCAAACGTCACAGCAGATCGCATCACGCTCGCAGCTAAATTTACGGCAGCTATCGGTGCGCTGTAAATAGGAATAGTAGCGATTATAAGGTTTTTGGCTCCGCCGCTTAGGGAGGAAGGAAAGAACGCGCTGCATGGGCCAGTAGGGGGGTGAACTTGAAATCCAGTGTCTCAGTAAGGATGTTAGCTGAATAAGGAAGTCGAATCAGAAGCCACCTTCGGAACGTTCGTGCGTATAGTAATCAGAGACCGCGTATGGCACGAGTATCTTATCATATATTTAAATGAGATCATCGCCACCAGAAACCGCGTATTATTTTTGAATGACAGCTTCAGTCGCACAAGGTTTCGTAAGAAACGACGGTATGTTAGAAACGGAAATGGATAACATCCGCGAATTGCGTACAGCAGCCTGGCTCCGTCCGTCAACACATCGTAAACACCACGGCAGGTCCATCCTTCCATTCCACGGCCGCTCCAAAACAACGATCCTCCTCTTCCTCTCCCTCCTTTCTCTCGCTCTCTCCCCTTCCCGTCTCGCGTTAGGAGAATCAAATCTGCAAACGGCTTTTGACAGCAGCAGCAGCACCACCACCACCAGCACTACAACCGGCACCACCAGCAGCGGCAGCAGCAGGGGAGAAAGCCATGATAGCATGCTGCTCTTGGGACGAGTGAACCAATTCGAAAAAGAGCTTACTGTGCAGCTGCAGCAGAGCAAAACAACGGATCCGATCAAATCTACGGATCAAAAGTCAACGAAGTCAACCCAGTCAACTCAGTCAACCAAGTCAACGGCGCAGAGCAGCTTGAAAGCAAAAACTAGGCCGAAACGGAAACCGCGTCCGATTATAATGACTAAAACCGGCGTAGAACTCAACAACCCCAACCTCCCGATCCCGGTCATTCCAGAAGGTTCGCCCGTCCTCCCCTCTTTCCCAGACACCATAATCGATACAACCACTCTCAATACAGGCATAACCCGCAGCAACCTAGCCAGCGCGTTTCTAGAATACTTCAAATTCCACATCCCTGAAAAAGAGGTCCGGCTTCAGTGCACCGGAGGACCCTGCCCGAACCTAGCTCCCTGCGGCCCGGCGTTCCCGAACCTGCGAGCCTGCCACCGAACCGACATAGTGGCGCCGATCCACATCGACCCCGGACCTCCAGAAAACTGCCCGAAGCTGGAGAACCAGGACGAGGTCGGGGAAAAGGCGCGGATTTGAGATGTTCGCAAGCGGGGGACTACGTGCGGCATGACAGGACGCTGTTTCAGTATTTCGAGATGCGGGATGTGATGATGGATTGGAATGGAGTGGTCTTCAACAGCTCCATGCACTACTTCCGCCATGGCTGCTTTTCAGATGCTGATGTGAGTGATGCAGTGTGAAGGAAGGCTTGTTACGAGATCTCAAAGCAAATCCTCATTCACTCGGTTTCAGTATTTCGAGATGCTAGATGTGATGTTGGACTGGAACGAGTTGACTTTTGAGTCGACTAAAAATTCTACTTTGAGATGCGGGATGTGATGATATATTGGAATGGAGTGGTGTTCAACAGCTCCATGCACTTCTTCCGCCATGGCTGCTTCTCTGATGCTCATGTGAGTCACGAGATGGGGTTACCAGTGCAGAGAGTGGGGCGGATGGTGAGAATGCTGTATACCTCCATTACCAGCTTCTGCCACTCCATCTCCTTCCCCATTATCCCCAACCCCCCCCACCCCACCCAGTTCACCTACCCCAGCGGCAACACCACAGTACAGCGCGTGGGGCGCATGGTGAGCATGCTGTACACCCCCGCTACGAGCTATCCCTTCTTTGCCATCCAACCCCAACTCCCTCACCTTCTCCCCCACCCCCACCACCCAGTTCACCTACCCCAGTGGCAACACAACGGTGCAGAGAGTGGGGCGCATGGTGAGCATGCTGTACACGCCCGCCACGAGCTTCCTCCCTTTTCGTGTTTTCCCCTTCTCTCATCCCCCCTTCTTTCCAGTTCACCTATCCCAGCAGCAACACCACGGTGCAGCGTGTGGGGCGCATGGTGAGCATGCTGTACACGCCCGCCACCAGCTTCTACCACTCCATCATCGAGTGGGTTCCGCAGTGGCTCGTGCTGAGAGAACTGCTGGAAGAACATCCCAACATACTCATTGTCATGCGCGCTGCTCAGGTGAGCAGTGAACTGGGTAAGTGAACACTCATGTGCTGAGGGAACTGTTGGAGGAGCATCTGAACATGCTCATTGTCATGCGGGCAGCTCAGGTGAGTGGGAGGGCATGAGTAATTACGCGCAAGAGTTTCATGGGATTGTTGGGATTATTAGAATAGCACCATCACATACCACATAGCATCATAGCATAATAGCCTTGCTAAATATTCAAGAAATACATGCGTTTGTGTGTGACTGTGCGTGTGTGCATGTGCACGTGTGTGTGTACGTATGTGTGTGCATGTGTACATGTGTGCATGTGTGCATGCGTATGTATGTCCCACCATACCACCCACCCATGCAGCTTCAATTGTACAACAGCACGTTGAAGCACATAGTGGGGGTGGAACCAGCGCACATGAATCTGCTTGTGCTTGACTGGCAGCACCGCCACACTCTCTTCCTCACACAGGCGCTCTATCAGGTAACAGTGGGCTTGCATCATATAAGCCAAATTTCTTGTTCCCAGCACGTGTGGAGGGAGTTGACACACACGCGCACTACCAGGTAACATGGAGCTGAGTGTGAGCTTTCTTCTTGCTCCCACATTCGCTTCTCTACTTCCCCGTTTATCCCTCCCCTGCTCCTCTCCCCTCTCCCTCCTGCTTCCCCCCTCTCTCCAGCATCTCAACTTCTGTTGGTGGTTGGAAAACACCTACCATCTGCTTCTTTCCAATCTGAACCACCTTCTTTTCTCTCCTCCTTACCATCCCTCCTCTCCTCTTTTTCCTTTCCACCCTTTTCTCTTTCCCCCTTTTCTCTTTCCCACGCCCCCCTCCCTGCTTCCCCCCCCCTTCTTCCCCAGCCTGTCTACCGCTGCTGCGGCCGGGCCACACCCACCATCTGGCGTTTCCTCCGCCGAAACTTTTTCCTCCCGCCCGATGGGCTGCCCATTTTCGAGCCCGAGAGTTTCCGCCTCCGCCGAACCTCCCCGCTAAACTACCAAGACATAACAGACTTACTTAGCCAGCGTGAGGAGCAGCAGTCGCGGCATCCCCGGCGGCTCGACGTGCTAAAGCCCGGACCTGTGCCGAGCCTAGCGGAGACGTTCGGGATGACGACGGGGCTGAACTGGGTGACGATCCTGGTTCGGAGGCCCGGGAATTTGTCTAGGAATCTGGAGGAGAGTGTGTATGAGAGGGTGGAGGGGTGGATGAGGAAGGAGTTTGGGGAGAGGCGAGTGGTGGTGTTTGATGGGAGCCTGCCCCTCATGGAAGGTGAGTGTCAGAGTGAGTGAGTGAGTGAGTTAGTGAGTGAGAGTAAGGTAGTGAGGGAGTTGTGAAGTGGAGAGGCGAGTGGTGGTGTTTGATGGAAGTCTGCCCTTCATGGAAGGTGAGTGAGTGAGTGAGTGAGTGAGTGAGCGAGTGAGTGTGGGAGGGTGAGTGAAGGTGTTCGATGTGAGTGGTGCTCGATGGGAGTCTGCCTCTCATGGAAGGTGAGTGTTGGAGTGGAGGAGTGAGTGAGGGAGTGAGTGTGTGAGTGGGGCAGCGGGGAGTGAGTGTTTGAGCATAGGAATGTGTGCAAAAGTGAGTAAGTGAGCGAGCGATCACAGGAGTGGGTGAATAAGTGTGCATATAATTGAGGTAGTGGGTGTAGCAGTGCGGGAATGAGTGATTGAGCATAAGAATGGGTGTGTGAGCGAGTGAGTGAGCGAGCGTAGGAGTGTTGAGTGATTGAACGACTGAGTGGGACTAGGAGCTGTTGAGGACGTTACTGAGTGAGTGACCGAGTGAGTGTGTGATCGAGCGTGTGAGAACCACGGCACTCATTTCCTGCATGAGAACTGCCTTTTGGTCGTGTTCTTCCCCCTTTGCTCGCCTCCCTCCTCGCTCGTTTCTTCCTCAATTCAACTATAAACACCTCTTTGCAGGTTTCTTCACCCGTTTTCTTTTCCATGAACCCCCACCCCCTCTCCCCCACCCGTCTTCTCCCATTCCCCCCTTTTAAAGCCCGAGCTCTCTTCCGCCGAGCCGCCCTATTGGTCGGCACGCACGGGGCCCGCGCTGACCAACCTCCTCTTCATGCCACGTGGCGCTTTCCTACTGGAGATCCGCCCTCGGGGTTACCCTAACGCGTGTTACCACCACCTAGCCAGCGTGTCACAGATGCACTATTGGCTGCTGCTGGGGAATGGGACAAAAGACTCCGCCCTGCAGGTGGACACGGGGGAGGTGTTATCTACAATTAGGGAAGTTGCTGGGAAGGTGTTTGCTGCTCTGAGGGGAGAACCAAAAGTCGCAGGGGAGAGGTTTGGAGAGGGGGTAAAGGGGAAGTGAACGAGGAGAAGTTGGCAGCAGCAAAGAGCGGAGGAAAGGAATTTGGTATCAGTGGTGCTGGTGCCATTGCTGTTAAGAATTCTCAAAAGGCTGCTGCTGTTGCTGCAGATGCATCTTCAAGTACTGCTGCCACTACAGCGACTGCTGATAGCAACACCACACCATCTGACGCCACTGGCGCTGCTGCTATCACCCACCCCATCAGCACAGGCCCCTCTACCCCTTCATCCTCCCTCGCCACTCCCCTCTCTAGTAACACCACCACTCCCTCCCCCTCCGCCTCCGCCTCTCTCCCCCCCATCCCGCCTCTCCCTCCGCCCACCTTCCCCATCCCCCTCTCCACCTCCCCCTCCGCGCTCCCCTCCGCCTTCCCGTCGGGCTGCGCGTGCTACCCGCCTGCGCAACGCCTTCTGCTGTACCCAGGCCGTGTGCGTGTGCCGCAACGTGTGCTACAACGGATCGCGTTACTTGGCAGATACGGCCCCGATATCCCTGATACCACTCCTGATACCACTACTGATACCACGGATGGCACCGACAGCACCACCAGCACCAGCAGCGCCAGTAGCGCCAGCAGCACCAGCACCGACAGCACCAGCAGCACTGGCAGCACCAGCAGCACCGACAGCATCACCTTCCCCCCGCGCCCCCCCCACCCCTGCCTTCCCCCAGTCCATGCCCCCGCCACAGCCAATAAATCCGCGTTGCTCTCCCCCCACGTCCTGCTCTAACCTGCCCCAGTTTGGGCGAATGTTGAGGTCAGCGCTCTCAGAGGCGCCCGTGAAAGGCGGGCTGCAGGCTGCAGGGGATGGGCGGTGGCGGCAGTGGGTTGGGGGGGAGGCGGAGTGGCGCATGGGCGGGACTCTGTTTGTGCCTCTCACACATCAAACAACCAATGTGGCACACTTTCTAGGTGAGCTTGGGATGGGAAATGGATGGGGAGTGGAAATGGTTGGGGAGCAGGAAGAGAATGTGTTTTGGAAAGCCCAAGACACTCCTCTCCCCCACGTCCTGCTCCAACCTGCCCCAGTTTGGCCGGATGTTGAGGTCAGCGCTCTCAGAGGCGCCCGTGAAAGGCGGGCTGCAGGCTGCAGGGGATGGGCGGTGGCGGCGGTGGGTTGGGGGGGAGGCGGAGTGGCGCATGAGTGGGACTCTGTTTGTTCCTCTGACGCACCAGACCACCGACGTGGCGCATTTTCTAGGTGAGAATGATATCGGAGTTGTTGAGCGTCGACTCAATAGGCAGCAGAGGATGGGCGGTGGCGGCGGTGGGTTGGGGGAGAGGCGGAGTGGAGAATGGGGGGAACTCTGTTTGTACCGTTGACGCACCAGACGACGAATGTGGCACACTTTGTAGCTGGGCGGAACAGAATGGGGAAATTCAAGCCGAAGTTGATAAACCTGATTGGGATGCGCACTGACCCAAGAAGCTAGCATCTTGCCACCTCCCATCCCGTCCACACCTTTTGTCCGTTTGTGCTTCATTTACAGGCAAGGCGGCACATATCCTGCTCGTGAACAACGTGACAGTCAAGACGGGCCTGCCTTGTGTCGATAGGTTCCTGCTGCCACTGCTCACGTCCTCACCTCTCTGCCCCTTTCGTGCAGGCAAGGCGGCTCACATCCTGCTGGTGAACAAATTGACAGTCAATACGGGCCGATTTGAAGCACCTAACAAAACACCCCCCTCCCCTTCTCTGTGCGCTGTTATGTGCAGGCAAGGCGGCTCACATCCTGCTCGTGAACAACGTGACAGTCAAGACGGGCCTGCCTCGTGTCGATAGGTTCCTGCTGCCACGTGCTGACTGGACAGTGCACAGGTGATCGTTCTGTCGCTTTTCACTCTGTCTCTCGTATTTTGAGGCACCACAAAAGCTCGTGCACGCGCAGAGCGCACGCTCGTGCAAGCTTGTTCCTTTCCACTCTGTCTCCCGTACTGCCTCTTGTTTCTTCGGTATCTCAGGTGTTCCTAGAAATCTTTGCCCCAATGTCTCTTTCTCTCACACGTGCACATACAGTCCCTCTCTCCTTCTCTCGCCTACTTCCTACACCTATCTGTTACTCACAGCCCTCATTTGCTGCCCACTTTCTTTCCCAGAATGAAGGAGCACGGACCACACGGCTGGCTACCATCCATGCTGCACCTCCTCCTCCGCATGGCCCTTGAGCCTCTCCTCCCCGCCTCCCTCCTGCCCGCCCTCCTCGCCTCCATCTCTCCCGCCTCCCTCCTCACCCCTGGCCCGCTAGCCGGAGGGCGGGTGGAGTTTGAGGGGCAGTTGAATGCTGCAAGCGATGAGTGGCCCATGTGCTTTCAGACGCTTGTTGTGCCTGGGTTGCTCAAGGTGAGACTCTCCTCCCTCCTCCCCTCCTCCCTCCTCCTCCTCCTCTCCTCCCTCCTCTCCTCCCTCCTCCTCTCCTCCCTCCTCTCCTCCCTCCTCCTCTCCTCCCTCCTCCTCTCCTCCCTCCTCCTCTCCTCCCTCCCCCCGTCCCTCCTCGCCTCCATCTCTCCCGCCTCCCTCCTCACCCCTGGCCCGCTAGCCGGAGGGCGGGTGGAGTTTGAGGGGCAGTTGAATGCTGCAAGCGATGAGCGGCCCATGTGCTTTCAGACGCTTGTTGTGCCTGGGTTGCTCAAGGTGAGACTCTCCTCCCTCCTCCCCTCCTCCCTCCTCCCTCCCCCTCCTCCTCTCCTCCTCCTCCTCTCCTCCCTCCTCCTCTCCTCCCTCCTCCTCTCCTCCCTCCTCTCTCCTCCCTCCCCCCGTCCCTCCTCGCCTCCATCTCTCCCGCCTCCCTCCTCACCCCTGGCCCGCTAGCCGGAGGGCGGGTGGAGTTTGAGGGGCAGTTGAATGCTGCAAGCGATGAGCGGCCCATGTGCTTTCAGACGCTTGTTTTGCTTGGGTTGCTCAAGGTGAGACTCTCCTCCCTCCTCCCCTCCTCCCTCCTCCCTCCTCCTCTCCTCCCTCCTCTCCTCCCTCCTCCTCTCCTCCCTCCTCCTCTCCTCTCCTCCCTCCCCCCGTCCCTCCTCGCCTTCATCTCTCCCGCCTCCCTCCTCACCCCTGGCCCGCTAGCCGGAGGGCGGGTGGAGTTTGAGGGGCAGTTGAATGCTGCAAGCGATGAGCGGCCCATGTGCTTTCAGACGCTTGTTGTGCCTGGGTTGCTCAAGGTGAGACTCTCCTCCCTCCTCCCCTCCTCCCTCCTCCCTCCTCCTCTCCTCCCTCCTCTCCTCCCTCCTCCTCCTCCTCTCCTCCCTCCTCTCCTCCCTCCTCCTCTCCTCCCTCCTCCTCTCCTCCCTCCTCCTCTCCTCCCTCCCCCCGTCCCTCCTCGCCTCCATCTCTCCCGCCTCCCTCCTCACCCCTGGCCCGCTAGCCGGAGGGCGGGTGGAGTTTGAGGGGCAGTTGAATGCTGCAAGCGATGAGCGGCCCATGTGCTTTCAGACGCTTGTTGTGCCTGGGTTGCTCAAGGTGAGACTCTCCTCCCTCCTCCCCTCCTCCCTCCTCCCTCCTCCTCTCCTCCCTCCTCTCCTCCCTCCTCCTCTCCTCCCTCCTCCTCTCCTCCCTCCTCCTCTCCTCCCTCCCCCCGTCCCTCCTCGCCTCCATCTCTCCCGCCTCCCTCCTCACCCCTGGCCCGCTAGCCGGAGGGCGGGTGGAGTTTGAGGGGCAGTTGAATGCTGCAAGCGATGAGCGGCCCATGTGCTTTCAGACGCTTGTTGTGCCTGGGTTGCTCAAGGTGAGACTCTCCTCCCTCCTCCCCTCCTCCCTCCTCCCTCCTCCTCTCCTCCCTCCTCTCCTCCCTCCTCCTCTCCTCCCTCCTCCTCTCCTCCCTCCTCCTCTCCTCCCTCCCCCCGTCCCTCCTCGCCTCCATCTCTCCCGCCTCCCTCCTCACCCCTGGCCCGCTAGCCGGAGGGCGGGTGGAGTTTGAGGGGCAGTTGAATGCTGCAAGCGATGAGCGGCCCATGTGCTTTCAGACGCTTGTTGTGCCTGGGTTGCTCAAGGTGAGACTCTCCTCCCTCCTCCCCTCCTCCCTCCTCCCTCCTCCTCTCCTCCCTCCTCTCCTCCCTCCTCCTCTCCTCCCTCCTCTCCTCCCTCCTCCTCTCCTCCCTCCTCCTCTCCTCCCTCCCCCCGTCCCTCCTCGCCTCCATCTCTCCCGCCTCCCTCCTCACCCCTGGCCCGCTAGCCGGAGGGCGGGTGGAGTTTGAGGGGCAGTTGAATGCTGCAAGTGACGAGCGGCCCATGTGCTTCCAGACGCTTGTGGTGCCTGGTCTGCTCAAGGTGAGTCGCTCTTCCCTCTTGTGCTCTGTCTCTAGAGCGCCTCAAAAGGCTGGTGGGCGGGTGGAGTTTGAGGGGCAGCTGAATGCTGCAAGTGACGAGCGGCCCATGTGCTTCCAGACCCTTGTGGTGCCTGGTTTGCTCAAGGTGTGTTTCTCTTCCCTCGTCAAGGTGTGTTGTCAAGGCTGGAGGGCGGGTGGAGTTTGAGGGTCAGTTAAACTCTGCAAGTGACGAGCAACCCATGTGCTTCCAAGCCCTTATTGTGCCTGGCCTACTCAAGGTAAGGCTCTCTTTCATTCTCAAGGTGCGTTTGTGAAGTGCGTCAAATGCGAGTGGGCGAGAGGAGTTTGCAGGGGCAGAGCTGGTGAGTCAGTGACTGAGAGAGCCTGATCGTCTCTCCTTCCGCTCTCCCCTGCACCAAAACGTCAGTTTCTTGAGAATTCTCAAAAAAACATACGCTGCACCAAAACGTCAACCTTCAACTCTCCTTCTCTCCCTTCCCTTCCAGGAAATCACATTCAACAGCATGGCGGAGGAGGCAGGGCCTGTGAGGCAGCGACTGAGGGAGGTGTTTCTCTCTTCACCTCTCCCCACATTCCCACTCTGTCCTTCCTGCTCCCCAACTGCCTCCTCCCACTCCCCACCCCTCCAGGCCATCACATTCAACGGCATGGCGGAGGAGGCAGAGATGGTGCGGCAGCGGCTGAGGGAGGTGTTTCTCTCTTCACCTCTCCCGGGCGCCAAAATCTTGCCTTCACTTCTCCCCTTCCCCCAATCCCCTCCAGGCCATCACGTTCAACGGCATGGCGGAGGAGGCAGAGATGGTGAGGCAGCGACTGAGGGAGGTGTTTCTCACGCCCGACGGCCAACCAGTGCCCGATATCATGGCAGCGAGCTCTGCTGGTGGTGCAAGTGCTGCTGGTGACAGCATCAGCAGCAGTATTAGCAGTGGCGGCAGCAGTGGCAGCAGCAGCAGTATTGGTAGCAGCGGCGGCGGCGGCGGTGGTGGTGAGGATCGGCACTACCCTGACGATGGGTCGCTGGTGCGGCTGCTGTATGTGACGCGCAACGACACCATGACGACCGGCAGGAGAGTCATGCACCCAGACACCCACAAGGCCCTCCAAGAGCTGTTTAACCGGATGGGTTTTGAGGTGCGGTTGAATTTGTGCGTAGGTGCATTTGTGTGTGGGTCGGGGGTGCATCTGTGTATGGGTGCGGGTGCGGCTGCTGTATGTGACGCGCAATGACACCATGACGACGGGGAGGAGGGTCATGCACCCAGACACCCATAAGGCCCTCCAAGAGCTGTTTAACCGGATGGGTTTTGAGGTGCGGTTGAATTTGTGCGTAGGTGCATTTGTGTGTGGGTCGGGGGTGCATCTGTGTATGGGTGCGGGTGCGGCTGCTGTATGTGACGCGCAACGACACCATGACGACCGGCAGGAGAGTCATGCACCCAGACACCCACAAGGCCCTCCAAGAGCTGTTTAACCGGATGGGTTTTGAGGTGCGGTTGAATTTGTGCGTAGGTGCATTTGTGTGTGGGTCGGGGGTGCATCTGTGTATGGGTGCGGGTGCGGCTGCTGTATGTGACGCGCAATGACACCATGACGACGGGGAGGAGGGTCATGCACCCAGACACCCATAAGGCCCTTCAGGAGCTCTTTAACCGGATGGGTTTTGAGGTGCGGTTGAATTTGTGCGTAGGTGCATTTGTGTGTGGGTCGGGGGTGCATCTGTGTATGGGTGCGGGTGCGGCTGCTGTATGTGACGCGCAATGACACCATGACGACGGGGAGGAGGGTCATGCACCCAGACACCCATAAGGCCCTTCAGGAGCTCTTTAACCGTATGGGTTTTGAGGTGCGGTTGAATTTGTGCGTAGGTGCATTTGTGTGTGGGTCGGGGGTGCATCTGTGTATGGGTGCGGGTGCGGCTGCTGTATGTGACGCGCAATGACACCATGACCACTGGGAGGAGAGTCATGCACCCCAACAGCCACAAGGCCTTACAAGAGCTGTTCAACCGGATGGGTTTCGAGGTGAGATCGAATGTGTGCATCCATGCATGGTCGCGGGTGCTGCTGCTGTATGTGACTCGCAATGACACTATGACAACCGGGAGGAGGGTCATGCACCCAGACACCCACAAGGCCCTACAAGAGCTTTTCAACTGCATGGATTTCCAGGTGAGAGCTGATGCATGCGTGCTCGTCCGCATGCTCGTCTGTGTGTCGGCTGCTGTATGTGACTCGCAATGACACTATGACAACCGGGAGGAGAATCATTCGCCCAGACACCCACAAGGCCCTACAAGAGCTTTTCAACCGCATGGATTTCCAGGTGAGAGCTGATGCATGCGTGCTCGTCCGCATGCTCGTCTGTGTGTCGGCTGCTGTATGTGACTCGCAATGACACTATGACAACCGGGAGGAGAATCATTCGCCCAGACACCCACAACGCCCTTCAAGAGCTTTTCAACCGGATGGGTTTCGAGGTAATGTATGCATGCATGCATGCTGGTCTGCATGTTTCATGTACATGTTAGGTGCATGGTTTCCCTTCCTTCTGGTGAGCTGAACAGTGCTGCATCCGTCCATGTGAAAGCAAGTTGGTGTTGAGACGTCTTTTGAAGCACCTCAAAAATCACAGCCACGCAAAAGTAAGCTTGTCTCTCCATTCCTCCCATGCCCCCATAACCCCCACGCCCTCCATACCCCCACCCCCATGCCCCCTATATCCCCCATACCCCAAATCCCCCCCATACCCCCCATGCCCCTACACGGCGCAGGTCTCACTAACAAACCCTCTGTTCCCTCCGTTCTCTCTCACACTCTGATGGGCCTCCCTCCCACATCCCCCACAGGTGACAATGACAGAATACCTCCCATTTTCCCAACAGCTAGCCCTTCACTCCATGGCCTAACATCTTCCATACAAACCCTCCCTTCCTTTCCCACACTCTGACGCCCTCCCTCCCACATCCCCCACAGGTGACAATGACAGAAAACGCTGTTCTCCCATTCTCCCAGCAGCTCGCCCTCACTGATTCCGCCGAAGTCGTCGTTGCCCTACACGGTGCAGGTCTCACCAACAACCCCTCCTTTCCCTCCCTCCCCTCTCACACACTCTGACACTCGCCCTCTCATATCCCCCACAGGTCACAATGACAGAATACGCTGTTCTCCCCTTCTCTCGGCAACTTGCTCTCACTGATTCTGCCGAAGTAATCGTGGCATTACACGGCGCAGGCCTCACCAACCCCACCTGCTTCGCTCGCTCCGACGCGATCGTTCTCGAGATCTCCCCCTTTGGAGTGTTCTACGATCTCTATTACTACACCGCAATAAACGCGGGGATAAACTACATGCAGTATCAGTGCACCGCGGGGCCTCCGCCCGTGCCCGCTAACGATTCGCTCTATGCGGGAATGAGTCCTATGGAATGCGATCGGGATGCGGCGTGCAAGAAATACCGCACACACACGCGAAAGGTACACTTAGCCGATCAAGACATAAGCGGCATTGAGAAGCTGTTAAAATTGGCCCAAGAATTTGTGCTGGACGTTAGGAAGAATGGGAGGGAGGAGGCTGGTAAGCGATTGAAGCAGTCTTACGGGCACCGGTGTTTGGAGAGGAAGTTGAGAAAGGACTGTAGGATGAGTTTCCTGCGCTCGCCTTTAGCTGATCCTGATTATGAGTGTATCCTGTCACTTGACTGCCCATACATTCCGCCTGTATAGTGAATAAAATGTATCTCGTGTTTTGTTTCTACTTAGAGCTGCTTCGCACATACTCCCCCCCTGCCTGAACCAATATAACAACTCCCCTACTCCTGTGCTGCCCGCTCCCCATTACCAACACAGCATCAAGAAATTGCTGCTCAAGTATCCACATTGTCTCAAGTATCAGGTCAAGTATCCACTGTCACCAGTGACCAGAATCACACGTTGCATTGATAGCTTCACATGGGTATCACAAAGTCACGGCCTGGAACAACCCCCCTACTCCTGCCCCCTCCCTGTACTAGGAACACAGCATCGAGACAATGCTGCTCAAGTCGTCAGTCAGTGTCACCAGAATCACGCTGGCTGGGCCAACCTACGTCCACCACACCCAACCTACGTCCACCACAACCAACCTACGTCCACCACAGCCTACTTCGAAACCAGAGGAGCCTAGCCCACTAGCCCAAGCCTATACTTGTATCACTTTTGTGAGAGTCCTGAACAGTGATACAAGCATAGCCCGCGGCTACGCCTAGGCTAGGTATGCCTAAGCCCGCCAGGCGACGCACTTGGTGGGCTTGAGTGAGTCCCCATCGCCCTTCTGCAGGGTCTTGGGCAGGATGACGTCATCCACCCCGTGAACCTGCACCACTCGCAGCGAGATGGCGTCAGCGGCCACCACGGAAGCTTCCTGCGGGCCGTCCTTGGCCTGCACCTCGACTGGCTGGGCGCCGCGAGATGACACCTTCACCAGACGAGCCTTGCACCCGCCTGCTGCCGCCTTGAGCTGTGTTGGGAAGGAGTGAAGGTGTGGTTGGGTTGGGAGGGATTAGGTGCGGTACAGGGGTGTCCGCCCCTCACAGGGACTGGCCTGCACCTCGACTGGCTGGGCGCCGCGAGCTGAGACCTTCACCAGACGAGCCTTGCACCCGCCCGCTGCTGCCTTGAGCTGAAATTCAGGGGGGAGAGAAGGCGAGCATGTTATAGTATGTGGATGGCCTAGGTGTGGGGTCACGCGATGGGATGATCGGGTTGTTGCGGCGTCACAAGGTGATGAATGATGCGGATGAACGGGCATGTGAAAGCAGAAGTAACACATCATGCCATCGCCCCATGCGCCCAACCAAGCCAAGTCCCTTGTTGTTAAACCAAGCCATGTGACATCCTCAACACACCCCACTAGCAAGCTATCATCATGACGACGCCACGTTTTTCAGGTGCATAATGGACAACCTTTTGAGGCGCCTCAAACTCAACCACCCCAGGACACCCCACACGCAAGCTATAATCATCTCTCACCTGCTTCCCCTGGGGCAGCGCCATGAGCTCAGCGGCGGTCATTTTCTTCTGCAACACGTGCAGTAGCAGAAATTCGCGCAGCGCCTTAGCTGCTCCAGTCGCACATTCTTCCCACACCCCTCGCAAGCCCCACTATCATCTCTCACCTGCTTCCCCTGGGGCAGTGCCATGAGCTCGGCGGCAGTAAACTTCTTCTGCACCACGTGCAGCAGCAGCACCTCGCGCAGCACCTTGTCGTCTTTAATCGCCTTCTTCGTGTCGTTCGAGAGCTCCTCAAACGCCGCGTCCGTGGGCGCGAAGAGCGTCGCCTCGTAGCAGTCGAACAGGTCGGGTAGGTCCTTGTCCAGGTCTGAAACGAGTGAAAATTCATGGGAATCGACGGAGTTGTTACAGCGGAGTGCGTTCAGGGGTTGGGTTCAGGGGTTGTTACAGCGGAGTAGGGGTCAAACGCCGCGTCAGTGGGCGCAAGAGCGTCGTAGCAGCTGAACAGATGGGGAAGGTCCTTGTCCAGGTCTGGTTTTTTTTGCGAAATTTCAAGAACGAGAGAGGGTAGTACAAGGTGAGGGACGGACGCCGCGTCGGCGGCAGCGTTAGGAAAAAATTACAGATTATGCGGCTAACGAATTGCTCGTTAAAATTACAACGAACAAGGGTCTTGTGTCTCTTCGAGGGAATTTGAATTTTGCGGCCTGAATTAGCTCAGAATGAGTAACCACTCCATCCGTACCTGTCTTTTTGAGCGCGGCGATCAAAGTCGAGTAGTTCCCGGCCGCCGTGAGCTCCTTGACGAGGTTGCTAACCACCAGCTTCCCGTCGAAGCGGCAGTACGGGCGGTTGCGCGCAGCCTCGGAATGCGAGAGGGAGACAGCAAAGACTGCCGCCAGCAGCAGCACGGCGAAGCACGACACTTTAGAGAAAGCCATAATGCGAGGCGAAGAAGGAAGATTACGGCTAAATAATAGAATAGAGTGAACTCGAGTGGATTTCTATAAAGCTTTGATCAGCGCAGCGTCTGGAACGGTAGTAAACGATCGGGGCATCTGAAGTGAGGAAGCAGAATGTGCGAGATTTGATGAGGAGGCAAAGCCAGGGGAGCGAATTTATACAAAGCTGGTTGGAATTGGATTGGAAGGATGTGGAACATTGGCGAATCGGAAATTCGAATGCGGTTCGACAAGTGGAGAATGCGGCTCGCGTGAAGCGGCTCGCACCGCAGCGTCTTCCCCCGATCACACCACTTGGAAACGGGGTCACCGCGCCGTCAAGTAATGGAATGCAGGAAACGTCCGTCAACAAATTCTGGCCAATCAAAGTGCCCAAAAGTGGTGTGCCGAAAATTTGGTCGGTGTTCTGACCTTCGTGCTTGCTTCATTCTCACGGTGACCGATGATGAACCAAGAGCGTCTGATTGGCTCGGGCGGAAATCCTCGCACGCGGGAATTTCCGCAAAGCTTGCGTTGCGAAGCGTTTTTGCTGCAATTGTGCTGCACTACACTGGATGTAAGGATTTGCTTTGCAGTATGACCAAGAGATATGAGAACAAATAACAATTCTAAGGTGCATGGCCAATGGGCTTCTGAATGTCAAGCTGACTTCTTGGTCTATAACATGCCTGACACTGGGAAGTTACCTCTCCCTTACAATGGTATGGTATTATCTTGGATGGATTTTATCCAGTCATGCAGCCTCAGAAGAAGTCGGAGGCGAGAGGGGGCAAGCCACTGTCTATTACCTAAAGTAGTTCATTTAGAAGAAAGCGTGCTAGCGATGGGTAATTCAGCTGCATCTTTCTGGCTCCCCTTCGCCATCAGTGCCCGAATCGTGCCCAAGATCATGGGCGGTGTGATCCCTTACCCAACTTCAAGGCACCATCCCCCCAAGGCTCACATCAGTGCACCGACTCCTTTGAACTCATCTGAGCCATCTCCTTCACATCCCCATCAACCACCACCCCTTCCTCCTCCTACGCCTCCCTCACCAGCTCTGCAGCAGCAGCGCCCTGCCCCCCTGCCACCAGTGCCCGAACCATGCCCCGGACTATGGGTGGGTTGAGTGAGTCGCACTTCAAGGCACCATCCCCCCAAACTCACATCAATGCACCAACTCCTTTGCGTACATTTGAGCCATTTCCTTCACATCCCCATCAACCACCACCCCTTCCTCCTCCTCCGCCTCTCTAACCAGCTCTGCAGCAGCACCACCCTGCCTCCTTGCCACCAGCGCCCGAACTATGCCCCAGACTACGGTGGGTTGAGTCCTCACTTCAAAGTACGAACTCCTTTGCATACATCTGAGCCATCTCCTTCACATCCCCATCAACCACCACCCCTTCCTCCTCCTCTGCCTCTCTCACCAAGTCTGCAGCAGCACCGCTCTGCCCCCCTGCCACCAGTGCCCGAACCATGCCCCGAACAATGGGTGGGTTGAGTGTCCATCCCAGCACCTGCATCGTCTTCCGTACCTGGAACGGAGGTTCGGAGGAAGGAACGGACACAAGGAGGCTTGGTTACGGGACAACGCGGATACACCCAAGCTTGTAACGTGTATGGCAACATGTAAACAGCCCATCTGCAACTAGAAGCACCTGAAAGCACCTGAGGATTGGGAACAGCTCTCCATCGACACCTCACGCCTCATAGCACAAGAAAGCCCACCTGAAAGCACCTGAGGGCTCAACTGGAAGCACAAAAAATCTCACCTAAAAACACCTGAAATCTCACCTGAAAGCACTCGAAAGATCACCAGGGAACCTGAAAGCACCTGAAAGCTCACCTGGGAGCAATTGTCCAAGTTCCCTGCGAGCACGTATGCTTGAAAGAGACGAGTGTACGTCCTGGCGTTGGGCTGTAACCCCACGCTCTGCATCTCCTCAAACACCTCCGCTGCTTCCCTCACTGTGAGACAGGAAAGAAGAAAGGGGACAAAAAGGGGTAAGGGAGGGCAAGGATGATGCAGGAATGAGGCAGCGTGGACAAGGAAAACGCGTCCTGGCGTTGGGCTGTAACCCCACCCTCTGCATCTCCTCAAACACCTCCGCTGCCTCCCTCACTGCGAGGGGGGGAGATATGATAAGAAGGGAGGAGAAGAAGGGAGGAGAATAAGAGTGGCGCAAGCAGGAGAAATGATAAGAAGGGAGTTGAAAAAGCGAGGAGAAGAAGAGTGGTGGAAGGTAAGGATGGCACAAGCACAAGGAACTGAGGGCAAGGAAAATGCATTCTGGGTTTGGGCTGTAACCCACCCCCTGCATCTCCTCACGCACCTCTGCTGCGGCCCTCACTGCACCGGACAACAAGAGAGTAGATGAAAGCAGGGTTGACGCGAGAATGAGAGAGTGAGATGAAGAGCAGTGTAGGTCTCCACGCCTGGCTTGATGCCCGCTCCCTCCAGCTCCAACACCAGCTTCACTGTGCCAGCGAAGATCAACCAACATACTCACCAGGGATCCAAGTAACAGACAGACGGATGGATGGAAGAGGAAACAGCAGCTCACCCAACCCGTGGCTGGCAAACAGCGAGATGAGAGCTGTATACGTCTCCACGCCTGGCCGGATACCCGCTCCCTCCAGCTCCAGCACCAGCTTCACAGCCTGCCTGCACCTCAGATCCTCCTCCTCAACTCAGAGGCAAATGGGTCGAGGGGCAGGGGAGAGAAAACAGCAACTCACCAAGGCCGTGGCTGGCAAAGAGGGAGATAAGAGCAGTGTAGGTCTCCACTCCCGGCCTGATACCCGCTCCCTCCAGCTCCAGCACCAGCTTTACGGCCTGCCGGCACCTCAGATCCTCCTCCTCACCTCACAGACAGACGGGTCGAGGGGCAGGGGGGAGAAAACAGCAACTCACCAAGGCCGTGGCTGGCAAAGAGGGAGATGAGAGCAGTGTACGTCTCCACTCCCGGCCTGATACCCGCTCCCTCCAGCTCCAGCACCAGCTTCACTGTGCCAGCGAAGATCAACCAACATACTCACCAGGGATCCAAGTAACACACAGACGGATGGATGGAAGAGAAAACAGCAACTCACCGAGGCCATGGCTGGCAAAGAGGGAGATGAGAGCAGTGTAGGTCTCCACGCCTGGCCTGATACCCGCTCCCTCCAGCTCCAGCACCAGCTTCACCGCCTGCCTAAACCTCAGCTTCTCCTCCTCAACTCAGAGGCAGATGGGCGGAGGGAAGAGAAGAGAGACTCACCAAGGCCGTGGCTGGCAAAGAGGGAGATGAGAGCACCCCAGGCCTGATGCCCGATCCTTCCAGCTCCAGCACCAGCTTCACCACTTCGGTGCACAAAAACCGACATAACCCAGTAAGGATCCAAGTGACAGACAGACGGGTGGAGGGGAGAGAACACAGCAACTCACCAAGGCCGTGGCTGGCAAACAAAGAAATGAGAGCAGTGTAGGTCTCAACGCCTGGCCGAATGGCCGCTCCTTCCAGCTCCAACACCAGCTTCACTGCCTGCCGGCACCGCAGCTTCTCCTCCTCACTTGCCTCCCTCCTCCCAACCCCCGCCCCCTCCTCCCCTCTCTGCCGCCCCTCCTCCTCTCCCCCCTGCTCCTCTTCCCCTCTCCTCGCTTCTGCTTGCCCATCCCCTCCATCTGCTCCACCCTCCGCTCCTTTACCAGCCAGCAGTGCGAGCTGTCTGTCCAGCTGTCGGTCCATGGTGCCATGCGCCTCCACCAGCCGTGCCACGGAGCGATCATCAGGGGCCAGCCCCGCAGCCAGCATGCGTTTAAAGACTGCCACTGCCTCGTCTGTGCGTCCATTCAGGCCGAACGCGGCTGAGAGGGCCGTGTATACGTGGCAGTCCGGTTTTATGTCCGTCTGGGCCTGTGAAATGGGGTTGGGGGAACAGCGGGGGCGGGGTGGCTGGGGAGGGCTTGCAGGCAGCAGTGAGCATGGAGTCTAGCAGCTGCCCTGCCTTGTCTGGCTGCTCCGCCTTGCTGCACACATAGCACCCAGAAACTGCCGAAACACCCACGCACTCACCAGAAACCACTGGTTTTAGCACTGTTGCTTCACTCACCAGCACTTTGTCAAACACCCTCTGGGCGTCATCAGGCCGACCAGCCAACCCAAACGCAGTAACCAGCGAACACAGAGTGACGGGGGAGGGCTTGCAGGCAGCAGCGAGCATAGCGTCTAGCAGCTCTTCTGCCTTGTCTGGCTGCCCCGCCTTGCCATACACAGTCATCATCGTGGTGTATGCCTTGGCGTCGGGGGTTATGCCTCGCAGTCGCATCTCCTCCCATGCTGCCTCGGCTTTTTCCACCTGCAATAAATCGCAGGGGCGGGTGGAGGGGTAGGTGGGAGGGGAGGGTTGGCAGCGAACCTGAGTTCAGTGTACAGAGTGGCAGTCATGCCCCGCCTTGTCGAGCTGCCCCACCTTGCCATACACAGTCATCATGGTGGTGTATGCCTTGGCGTCGGGGGTTATGCCTCGCAGCTGCATTTCCTCCCACGCTGCTTCTGCCTTCTCCACCTGCCACACACGGGGATCAGCAGGGAATACAAGCCCAGTGCACGGTAAGAAGTCTTGCATTGGCCCACTGCACACAGTACTCATGCCCCGCCTTGCCATGCACGGTCATCATGATGGTGTACGGCTTGGCGTCGGGGGCGGGTCCGTGGGTGTGTGAGCAGTGAGCAGTGGACCATGGACGGGTAAATAGTCACAGAGGTGTATTTTGAGGCGCCTCAAACATACACCTCAATGGGCGTGGGTCCGTGGGTGTGTGAGCAGTGGACCATGGATGGACGGGTAGATAGATAGTCACAGCAATCATCGTGACCCCATTGGTTTGACTTTTGAGATTTCTCAGAAGTCAAACCAACATAGCTGGGTGCGTGAGCCATGGACCATGGATGGGCGGGTAGATACGTAGTCAGAGCAATCATCATGACCCCATTGCCCTAAGCATAGATGGGCGGGTAGATAGTCACTGAGGTGATTTTTGAGGCGCCCCAGAAATCACCTTAATGCGGTGGGTGCCTGAGCAGTGGACCATGGATGGGCGGGTAGATAGATAGTCACAGCAATCATCGAGACCCCGTTGCCCTAAGCATGGATGGGCGGGTGGAAAGATAGTCACTGAGGTGATTTTTGAGGCGCCTCTAAAAGCACCTCAATGGGCGTGGGTTGGTGTGTGAGTGAGTGGGTGGAGCATGGATGGGCGGGTAGACAGATAGTCACAGCAATCATCCTGATTCCATTGCCCTAAGCATGGACCATCTTAGAAAAGGATAACTTTTGAGATGTCTCAAAAGTGTGTGAGTGAGTGGGTGGACCATGGACGGGTAGATAGAGTGTCACAGCAATCATCGTGACCCCATTGCCCTAAGCGTTGACCTCCATAGAAAAGAATAACAAATCAAAAAACATCCCATTCACAACCATCCCTGTGAATGAACATTTCACGAGGCATCGGAAAACGAACACACAGGTGCTTGGCCCGCCCATAGCCATTGATCTTAACGGAGGAGGAGATCAAAACTGGAGCTATCCCATCCGCCTCCATGCCTGCTTCGAGGCATAGGCACCATGCGAACGAATACCCGTACACACCTGCTTGGCCCGTCCATATGCGTTGATCTTCACAGGAAAGGAGATCAAATCTGGTGCTATCCCATCCGCCTCGATGCCTGTGAACACGCACTCGTAACAGCATATTGGTGACAAATAAACACATACACACCTGCTTGGCCCGGCCTTAGTCGTTGATCTTCACAGAAGGAGACCAAATCCGGCGCTATCCCATCCGCTTCCATGCCTGTGAAGGGCCACTTGATTAGGCACCTAACTAACCAGCCCATTCAGCAACAAACCACTCCGCAACAAGCTCACACCTGCTTCGCACGACCATATGCGTTGATCTTCACAGAAAAGGAGATCAGGTCAGGCGCTATCCCATCCGCCTCCATGCCTGTAAAAGCCCACTAGTAACATCATATCTTTGATAGACAAATAAACCCAAACTTACCTGCTTGGCCCGCCCATAGGCGTTGATCTTCACAGAGAAGGAGATCAGATCCGGAGCTATCCCATCCGCCTCCATGCCTGTGAATGCTCGCTCCATCTCCCCCAGCCGCCCGTCCTTGCCGAACCTCTCCACCAGCTTCGTGTAGTCCCGAGCGTCAGCCTCGTACCATTCCTCTGATAGAGACCACTGCATGACCTGCGGCATTGCCGAAATGACAAAGGATAAGGCAATGCAAGGTGGATCAGGGGGGAGAGAAAAGTTTGTGGCGAAGTTGAGAGAAGTTTGGGGAAGAGGGGTGGGTGTGGGAGGGGAAAGGGTGAGACGTGTGTAAAGTACAGCTTACGAAAGCAAAACGAGAACTAGAAAAGCAACCCACTCCCCTCCCCCCATCCTATTACACTCTTTTTACATCACATCCACCTAAAACAGCAGAACTGTGGTACCCGCAATGTGTATGCATCACCAATGATACTAACCTTGCTTGATAATATCCTAACAGCATCCTCGTTATTGTCAGACCCACCCACGTGGCACAGCAGCTCCCTGGTATCAGCTGTATCCATCTCTTCAATTGTGCCAATCAATAAAATTCCAGCAATAGCTCCAGGTATCCTCGTTATTGTCAGACCCACCCACCTGGCACAGCAGCTCCCTGGTATCTGCAGTGTCCATCTCTTTAATCGTGTCAATCAATCAAATTCCAGTGATAGCTCCAGGTATCCTCGTTATCGTCAGAACCACCCACCTGGCATAGCAGCTCCCTGGTATCAGCCGTGTCCATCTCTTTAATCGTGTCGATCAAATCCCTGCGGTGTGGTCGCACGCCCTTCACCCAGCTGATCGAATAGGGGAAGACAGAGGGATGGGGGAAGGCAGGGGGGAAAGGGGAAGGCAGATGGATGGGGGAAGGCAGGGGGGATGGGGGAAGGCAGGGGGGATGGGGAAAACTTTTGAGGCGCCTCAAAAGTCGATCAAATCCCTGTGGTGTGGTCGCACGCCCTTCACCCAGCTGATCGAATAGGGGAAGACAGAGGGATGGGGGAAGGCAAGGGGGATGGGGGAAGACAGAGGGATGGGGGAATGCAGGGGGATGGGGGAAGGCAGGGGGATGGTTGACGAAGCAACGCAGTGCACCTCACCTTTTTACTGGCTTAAGAACGATGCATTAAAGCGTACGTGCGCGCATTCACCTATATGTAACGAGGAATGTGTAATAATATGATCAATTTCGACTAACTCCGTACTTTTGAAGCCGTTGATGCAGCTCATCCTCGTTAGCAGGCGGCTTCGTTTTCAGCTCCTTTATAAGCACCAGCGCCTTGCGTGTAACGCGTCCAGAGACGAGAGGACGCGCTTCCGGCCATTTCCGGCGACGATGCGCCGTGCCGGCCGCTAGGACGATCACTGGAGACCATTGATTTTCTGACTGGCAAACATCCGGCCGTTGATTTTGACATCTGACCGATACCTCTTGTTTCGAATCGGTAACGAATCCGTCTCTAACGAAGCATGAATTCAGTGAGGCTAGGGAGCTTCGAGTGAGAATGGCTGAGATGGCTGGCATTGCGAAACGCGGCTGTCGTATTACGAGCAAAACGGGGCTAAATCGCAAGCACGGTTCGCAAGCACCCCGAGGGTCAGCGTATCGACGATTTTCGCAGCGACTGCTGCACTCGGTAGCTTCCGAGACGTGTCGAAACAAGCCACGGGGTGCTAGGATTCCGTGAAAGGAGGACGGCGGCTAGATGCTTTATTGACGATAAAATCGCGTTGGGTTCAACAAGGAGAGGAACAAATGAGAGGGGGATTCGCAAAGGCTCGTCTGAGGTCAGAGTTTATCGCCTTGCAACAGACGAGCTGCAGCGAATCTAGGGAGGGAAATTCGCAGACAAGCTGAAGAAAAGGATCGAAGTGAAAGGTGAAGATGAGTTGAGAAGGGGAAAAGGATAGAGAATGCGAGGGTGGTGTGCCTTCGGATTTCAGAGCATATACAAATACCATAGCACCGTATTTAAACGAGCATTTATCCGTCAGAATCGCTGAACTCTTTCTGCACTGAGTGGTGTCAAGGGATAATCGGGGATTGCGAAAATCAGCCACGCGAGCTTTCCACGACTCGCAACCAATCCGTGCCAACATGGGATTATCCTGGTGTAACACCCAATCTAGTTCGATGTGGTAATAGTGAAAAAACATTCCAGGATGAAATTTATTTTGAGGTCCCAGTTTCAGCACAATAAGTATTTTCAAGCTTGTCAGCATCCTTGAATGTAGGACACATCACAGCTTCAAACACAAAAAACAGCTGGTGCTACAGCCATATTTTATGCACAAAGGTAGTGCACCATACACCTGCTAAACTACCCCCACAAGCTCATGCTACTCCACTCGAACAGGCCGGTTTCTTTTTGGCACTTCTGCTGCCTTGCTGCTTCCGCTCCCAGCCTCACCATCTTCCCCCTTTCCTACCCCCACCTCGTCTCCCCCAGCACCACCAGCATCCGTGCTCTCACTTCCAGCAGCACCACCGTCAGCATCGTCATCAACTGATGTCTTGAGTACCTGCTCTGCTTGCACCTGCCGCCTCCCCTCTCTGCCCTCCTGCTCCGCCATCTGCTGCAGCACCGATGCTACCTCCTCCTCCAGCCGCCCCTCCGCCTTCAAACGAGCAACCTGCGTTGTAATCACAGTGCAGAAAAGTTGAACAGAATCGCATATGACTTAGGCACGTCCCTTTGCAGCCTATGCATATGAAAACACATGATGCCTCTTTTCTGTTTTCCATTTTTGGAGGGTGAGAGGGCAGGGAGGGCAGAGTAGTGGGAGCAGGGGCAGGAGTGAGAAAGTGGTGGTTTCAAGAGCCTCTCACCTCCTTCTTGGTGTGAATCAAAACCTTGAGCCAGATTTTAAAATGTCTTAAAAGTCGCAGAAACCATCCATACGCACCATCCACGAGCCCCTCACCTCCTTCTTGGCGTCTTCCAAGAACCACTTCTGAAGTCGACTCAAAGGCAGCAGTCCCACACCCACTCCCACGTTGACTCGACTCAACATTCATTCATACTCACCGTGTTAAGAGCCTCTCACCTCCTTGTTGGCGTCATTCCAGAGCTTAAACCGGAAGCAACGGCCCTTCCCAACCCCACTTTTGATTCGACTCAAAAGCAAAAGCAAAAGCAAAAGCAACAGCCCCATTCCCAAACGCGCCATGTCAACAGCCTCTCACCTCTTTCTTGGCGTCATTCCAGAGCTTGAACCGCAATAACAGCCCCACCCCCACTCACACTTTTGAGTCGACCCAAAATCAACAACCCCACACCCACTCCCGGCTTTGAGTATACTCAAAAGCAACATTCCCACTCCCACTCACACTTTTGAGTTGACCCAAAAGCAACAACCCCACTCCCACTTCCACTTTTGAGTCAACTTCAAAACCGTTCCAAGAGCCTCTCACCTCCTTCTTTGCATCATTCCAGAGCTTGAACCGCAGCAACAGCCCCACCCCCACTCCCACTCCACCTGTGGCTAGGGCTGCAAGAAAGAACAAAAGCAGATGGATGAACAATGAACTGGTTCTGGGTGCTACGAGCGATGGCTATGAAGCCAAGAACAAATATTGCTTAGACTCCAAACCCTAATGACTAGGGGACAAGAGCGGAAGACGATGAAAGGACACCCAGACTGTACGCTCTATAGGACGGCTCCGTTCACTCTATGGGACTCACGCGCGTGTGTACTCCTCACCAGCGATTTATTTAACAAGGGCCTGTGAATTAAAGCAATCCACTGTATACTGGTTCACCTCACGAGCTCTACATTGTGTAGTTTTATAAAAGAAGAGACTTCCATGTATTTTTTAGGTTCTAAACAGGGATTGAACAACCCCAGTACACTCTGCAACCCATCAACCCAGGTTTTACGTTTCAGCCATTCTTTCCAAAAGTCAACCACTTCCAGTATTGTAAAATTCTCTCCCACTCCCACAACCTGCAAGCCCTGCATTTCCTCATCTTATCAAACTCACTCACTCACCCACTGCAGTGATCATACATCATCAACTGATACAACTCACCTGCTCCCACACCCTGCAAGCCCTGCATTTCCTCTTAGATATTTACTGACCTCACCAGATTGAGATACCTGACAGGCACCCATCGCGGTTCCATGACTCAACCACTGCAGCGATCATATATCATCAACTTGATACAAGTCACCCACTTCCAGGGCCTGCTTTTGAAAATTCTCAAATTCAACCACTCAGTTTTGTAAATTTCCCGCCCACTCCCGCAACCTGCAAGCCCTGCATTTCCTCGTCTTATAAAACTGATACACGCCCACCCACAGTTGTTCCAGGGATACGAGCACCCAACCACCCCCACTCCCTCACTACGCTATGCGCAGAGGAGACACCCACTTGCGTGAGTACACGTGGCAGCACTCACCGACTCCCACGGCCTGTAGCACCGAGATCCAGTATGTGTCGTCCAAGCCCGCGCGAGCTGCCACGTGTCTCCTCCGTTCTACCGCCAACGACGGCGACGACCGCGGCGAAAAATGCGGCGATCGTGTGCCGGAAAATAGCACTTGTCCGGGCTGCGCGGCGGAAACCAGGGGTGCGGCGACAAAATTCCCTGTCGAGCCGCACTTACGTGACGATATCACGGCCGTTATTATCCTATTTTGTACCGCGCGTTGGACCGTGACAGCGGGGACTATCGAACGTCGATTTCTGCACGTGTCAAGCCGTCGGCTGTCGAAGAAATCTGTCCGCAAAGAGAATGCAGACGGAGCTGCAGCGACTCCGACGTGGCATTTCATCGTGGCAATGGCGAGCGCCGCGTCGCACAAGGCTGAGCGGGTGTAACTACGTCTCGAGATTCGCCAACAAAACCCGAGTGACTAGACGGTTTAGACGCGACGGTCACAACAACAGTCGGGAACGACGATGAGGTGATGCTGTGCTGTCTATGATGCTTTGTGGGTCCTGTGAGGCGAAAGAAGAGTAGGTTTCATATGTTTGTATTTGCTGATACCCTACCGAACCGACGTAGATATCAGCTTCACCATTGTGGCACGGGCAAAATCTGATTGAGCCGCACTTGGACAAACTTGTGAGATCCTGAGGGTTTTGGAAAGGTGGACTGTGAGGCAAAACTGAAAAGACTGCTCTCATTGAGAGTCGAACTCAAGACCTCCCGCTTACTAAACGGGTGCTCTAACCAACTGAGCTATGAGAGCTGTTGTCGGGGACTAGTTCAGCCTTACAAAATTAAAACCGAACGACAAGCTTCTAGAAGATTCTGGCATTATAAAGCTTCCCTTCCCCTCACCATTTCCTCGTCTCTCATCGTGATTTCCAAGGAGACCCCTGAACCTCGTCCTGCCAAGCACCCGTCCCTTCTCTGCGCTGCTGCCAGTTGACCTGCTCGGCTCTGCCAGCCGCCTCTCATGGCGACGATGGAGAAGGTGCAGATCAGCGGGGACGGCGTCGAGGTAAGGCAGGCGAGATTTTATTGCGGTGATTTATCATTTACGTTTAGAGTGAATCTTGAGTCAGGCATCTGGACGTTCTTCCTTTCCCTAGTTTGTGCACGTTTTAGGAGTCCTTTGTTTGATTTTTTTTCTTCCCTACCTTTGTTGTAGCCCTCTCTGCTGTTTTTTCTATTTTCGTCATTCTCTTCTTTTTCCTTTTCGTTGTCCTACTCGTTTCTCCAGCAGACGTTTGACGCATTCGTGGCGGGCGAGGAGGGCAAGCCGGGCGTGGTGGTGCTGCAGGAATGGTGGGCGTCAGTACTTATTCATTTTCCCTCTCCTTTATGTCCTACTCATCTGGCCTGCAGACGTTCGACGCGTTTGTCGCGGGCGAGGAGGGCAAGCCGGGCGTGGTGGTGCTGCAGGAGTGGTGGGGCGTGGACTTCGAGGTCAAGAACCACGCGGTCAACCTCGCCGCCAAGGGCTTCCGCACGCTCATCCCCGAGTGAGTGGCGAATAAAATCTGTGGTTGTGAATTTGATGGACATTCGTTTCAACATGAGATGCAATGCCTGATCCGATGAAGCCGGATCTGGTGTGTTCGATCGATTAGTGAGGTGTTTCTCCGTTGCGAACTTTCTTTCTTCCTGAGATGTTTCTTTGTCGTCGCAGCTGTAAGTGGGAAAGGCGGCTCTGCAGGCCGCGGGGGTGGAGCATTGTTAACCCTCGTTCCTAAATTTCTTTCTATCTACGTGCTCTTAATCTCTCCCTCGTTTGGTTGCAGCCTGTACAAGGGTAAGGTCGCTCTGGAGGCCGTGGAGGCGCAGTATGGTTAACGTTCCTTGCTGATGTTTTCTTTACATTTCCGCCTTTTTTCCTCCTTCGTTTGTTCGGTCGCAGCCTGTACAAGGGCAAGGTCGCTCTGGAGGCCGCGGAGGCGCAGCATGGTTAACGTTCCTTGCTGATGTTTTCCTTACATTTCCGTCTTTTTCCCTCCTTCGTTTGTTCGGTCGCAGCCTGTACAAGGGCAAGGTCGCTCTGGAGGCCGCGGAGGCGCAGCATCTGATGGACGGTTTGGATTGGCCCACCGCCATCAAGGAGATCGGCGCTTCTGCCAAATGGCTTCTGGCACACGGCTCTAAGAAGGTAATTATTCCTTTTGAGCAGCTCGGGTTTTTTTTTTCATTAGCATGAAGAAACAAACGACACCATTATTCTTTTGTCTTGCCAAAAATGCATACTGTCTTTATGATTATCTTATGCATTCGTGCGTTACTATTTGTCACGTCGTTTTGCTTGTTTGTGAGTTGATTTCGCCTTCGTGTCCACATTTTGGTCATGCGACCTTCTTGTCATTGTGCCTTTCCTGCTCTTCGCGTCGCAGGTCGGCGTGATCGGATTCTGCATGGGCGGCGCGCTGACTCTACTCGCCGCGATCAACGTCGACTCGGTGTCCGCAGCTGTATCCTTCTACGGCGTTCCCGAGGCAGCTCTTAAGGAGGATGCCAAGGCGAAGGTCCCCGTGCAGGCGCATTTCGGCGAGCTCGACGGTTTCAAGGGCTTCTCGGATGTTGATGTGAGTCATCTTCAGCTTCCCTTCAACATTTTTTTCAGCATTCCGTCGACGTGAGTTAATCATTCGCTTACCGTGACATTGCCTGCGTTCAACCTTTTTATCGTCGCAGTCACATGCTCGCGAAAGCGTGCCCATCCCTTAATCCCCTACCTGTGTTCCTAACTCTGCAACAGACCGCGCGTGCGTTGGAGAAGCGTCTGGAAGCAGCCGGCGTGCCTCACGAGGTGCACATCTACCCCGGTCAGGGCCACGCCTTCGTGAACGCTTCGCCAGAGGCGATTAAGCGGAAAGAGGGGATGGGGTTACCAGGTCATGACGAAAAGGCCGTGGAGCTGGCGTGGTCGCGAACCGTTGATTGGCTCAACAAGTATCTGAATTAAGAGGAAGGGGAGGGGGGGAGGGGTGGAGGAGAGAGGAGGGGAGGGAACGTTGAGCAGTTTGTAAGAATTGGAGGGGAGCTGGAAATTTCAAATTAGCTGTAAATAGGCGAGATGGCAGATTTATGGTGCACCTTAGGTGCACTGTTGGAAGCAGAGGTGAGATGAGCTGAGTAGAGTTGGTTCGGTTTGAGTTGAGTAGGCACTTGTGTTGAAGAAGACTGAACAGGAGGAAGTGGGGAGTCATTTGTGTGGAGGAAGGGGAGAGGCGGGTTTAGTCAGGAGGGGTGCAATTGAGGAGGGAGTGGAGAGGGTTGGAGTGGAGAGAAGGGAGGAGGATTCTTACAGGAGGAAGGTTTAGCGGGCCCGGCGAAGGACCACACTCGGCCAATCCCGTTAAAAGCAGCGTGATTATAACGGGTGCTAGCGGGCGGCGGCCACTCTCTGGCCTGCCCCTCATCCTGGGCTCGTTACAGTCACACTTCGGTGTGACCGTAGCGATGCCTCGCGCTTGCTGGGCTGTCATCGTGAGGAGTGCCGTGCGAAAGTCCCCGACCGACCTGGTAGAAAGTACCCGCCCGAAAGGGCAGAACCCCCCGAAATTCCTCCCCTGACAGCTGCTTCGGGCAGCTGTGGGCTGAGACGGGCAGCTGTGGAAATTTTCTGCGGCTGCCCTGAGCTCTGCTGCTGGCTGTATGGCCGGCGCCAGGGGCAGGAGCGGGAGGAAAGTAGGTGCAGCACAGGCATGTGGTCAGTGGGGTTACCACCCACCAACAGAACGGGGCTTACTCTTGCCGTGCCCGCTTCCCTTCCCTGTCTTGTATGCATGTTTTTTTGATGATGAAAAGGAGTTGCAAAAAAAGGGATATACTCTCAAAGTCTACATGCAACGGAATGATTGGAATTAGGGTTTGCAAGCATACAAATAGGAGTCCTACAAATGTTGTACCCTTTAGGGAGTGCCTCACTGCAGCCTATCATAACATTAACATTTGACACACCCCCATAGGCTAAGTGAGGGACACCAGGGCAAGCAAGGTGAAAACAAACGGTCACAAGACCAGTCAAGGCAAGACAAGCTCAGGGTGGATCTCAAGGATACCACACAAATTCCGAGCACAAGCAAGTGGCCACAAGGCCAGTTCAACAGTTCACTAGGATATAAATATGAAAACACAACAAGCAGAGCAAGCAACAAGACTACAGCAACCGGGGGCCTACCTCAACAAGCCCCAACTGCACACAGAACCTGTGGTGATCACCAGGCGCCAAGGCCTTGGTGAAGACGTCTGCAGTGTTGGCCTCTGAGGCCACAAAGTCCAGGCGTGCCTGGCCGCGTCGCTGCAGCTCTCGCAGGAGGAAGTACCTCACGTCAATATGCTTTACTCTGCTCTCCAGTCGCGGCTCTCGACACAGGAGGATCATGGCCTTGTTGTCAGCATACAAGGTCGGTGCAGAACGAGGCCGCTCACCAAGGTCGGTGAGCAAGAAGGTCAACCAACGAAGCTCCTGTGCCGCCATGGCACCAGCGTAGATCTCTGCCTCTGCACTGGAAGTAGCCACAGACGACGACCGAGTAGACCTCCACGACACAGCACCAGCTCCCAGACTGAAGCAGTAACCCTGAGTCGAACGCTGAGTCTCCACGTCGTCAGCGTAGGAAGAGTCGCAGTGCCCAGTCAACGCCACTGGCTGAGTCCCTCCAAGCACAAGCCCCATGCCTGATGTAG